ATGCGCGTTCCCATCCGACCCGATTTCCCGATTGGATGCTGACTAATCCTGCTAACGATGCCTCATCCAAAGAGGGAGGATGATCCTGTTTCCCGTCATTCGAAGGAGGGATGTGGATCCTGCGGTCTACCTCCTCCTTCCTCCTCTTCCGCCCTCCCCTCCGTCCGTGCGCGCGTGTGCGTTCGCGTGCGCGTCGAAGATCGCAGGAGCAAGAGGTCATGATAAGCATCCAGGTTTCCATGACTTCCACTATTGCGACGGCCTTACGGCCGGTGCCGCCGACCCTAAATGACGACGACGACGACGACGACGACGAGCGCTCTCGGGGGTCTCTTGGGGATAGTTTGGGGGCCTCTTGGGAAGCTCTTGGGAGCCGCTTGGGAGCCTCGTGGGGGCCTCTTGGGGCTTCCTGGGGATCTCTTGGCGGCCTCTAGGGGTCTCTTGGGGGGCTTCTTAGGGGCCTCTGGGGGCTTCCTGAGAGCTTTTCAGGCCGAGGGATCGAAATGTCTGTTCGGGCCCCCCGTCTGGGCTCCCTCTTGGAGCTGTCTTGGGGGCCTCCTTGGCTGTCTTGGAGGCCTCTTGGGAAGCTCGAGCTTAAGATCCAGATCAGTTCGGTCAGGACTCGGGTGCCAGGGAGGACTTGATCCACAACGCTATATATAGAGCACAATCGCGGCATGGCACATCGCAGTTCAGCACGGCGTAGCACAGCACAGCCGTCGACACGGTACGTCAAGATCGATACACTCAACATTGCACCTGGGCACGTTCCTTGGCGCGTTCCGTGGCGAGTCCACCTGGCACGTCGCGCGGCGCGCCCCCTGGCGCGTCCCGCGGCACGTCCATTGGCACGTTCCGTAGCGCGTCCCCTTGGCACGTCCCGCGGTGCGTGCCCATGGCACGCCCCCTGGCACTTCGCCTGGCGCGCCCCTTGGGACGTTCCGCGGCGCGTCCTCCTGGCATGCCCCCTCTGTCGATGAGTTCTGGGGCAGCTACCATCTGGTCAGGAAGCTCGAGCTTAAGATCCAGATCAGTTCGGTCAGGACTCGGGTGCCAGGGAGGACTTGATCCACAACGCTATATATAGAGCACAATCGCGGCATGGCACATCGCAGTTCAGCACGGCGTAGCACAGCACAGCCCTCGGCACAGTATTTCAGGATCGATCCATTCAGCATTGCATGTGCCCGTCGCCCAATCAGGTGTCTTTGAAACGTTGCCATGCCTGACATTTCTATATTCCTTTCCGGGTTCGTGGGTCGATCATGTTTTGTTATTTTGCCACTTTGGTGTATCCGTTGGGATTTTTTTTCGTCGAACATCCCCCTGTAGGGGGGGGACAGGCCCGACTTAAAATGAATCGTCCACTCCCAGGAAAATATGGGAAAATATGGGCAGGGGGGGGTGGGAGGCAGAAACCCAGAGAATAGGGAAACATATGGGGAATCCTTTTAATTATTCGTATATGTTAATTTGTGTTACCAGGGCCCCTTCAAGATGGGAGCACCCGAGACCCCGAGTCACTCCAGAGGCCCCCCGAAGCCCTCTGAAGGCCTCCCAGCGGACGCAGACGGACTCCCCGAGGAGACCTCGACTCCCCGCGAGGACCTCCGAGGGCCTCCGCAGAGATCCTTGGGAGCCTCTGGAGGCGGCGGAGGCCTCCCCAGGGGCCCCGAGGGCCTTCCGAGGAGCCGCCGAAGACCCCCCGAAGGGCCTCCGAAGAGCCTCCGAAGACAGACAGACAGACAGCAGCCAGGCGCTTAACAGCGCATTGGCAGAAAGATGCAGTATAACGTAGTACACATCCTGAACACGGCAGTGGCGCCACCAACGTCTGACGTTAAATCACAATTCGCTGCTACGGCGAAGCGTCCGGGTATAAATCATAATTCGTTGGCGTTCGTTGGAATCGTGAAAGAAAAAACGAACAACCTCCGAAGGCGACCCGACATCCCTCTGGGGTCTCCGAGCAGCCTCCGCCGCTGCCCGAGCAGCTCCGTGATGTCCGCCCGAAGGCCCCCGAGGGGCCTCGAGGAGGCCAAGCGACCTCGGAGGACCTCCGAGGGCCGCGGGAGCTTCCCCGGGGCCTCGGGGGCCTCCCGAGGCGCCTCCGAAGGACCGATGGGGCCCTACGAAGAGCCTGCCGAAGCGCTCGGGGCCCTCCGGGAGCCCCAGGCGCCACCCGAGCAGCGCTGCGGTCCTCCCCAGGACCGCCGAGGGCCTCCAGCGCCCAAGGACCACGGAGACCCAGGCGCCGTTCTGGTCCAGGCGTCGTTCTGGCTGGCTCGCGCCCTCTGCTGTGGCCCGCGCGCACTCACTCCATAATCCACCTGACGATGGCAGCTTCCTTCCGGCCCAGCCTGCAAGGGAGCGCAGAGGGTGATGCCGAGAAGTGCTCCGACCATCTCCTGCGAGAGCAGCACGAGGATGCCGGGCGCGACGGGTCGGGGGAGCGGCGCAGGCTGCGGCAGCGGCAGGCAGTGCTCTCGTCCCTGGCGCTGATCGGCGTCGCAGCCTTCGCATGGAAGCTCAGCTCGGGGAGCGAGGCGGTCAAAGCAGGCCCGTGCGGGTCTCCAGACGGACCTCTTTGCGACATCGGACTCGTCGCGCTGCCCTCCACCCTGATGACCTGTCCCGGAGGAGCGGTGCTCAAGACAGCCAGCATGGACACAGCCAAGTACGACGCAGTGGTGGCGTCTGTCACGCAGCTCTACAATTCCTTGGGCAACACGTGTACTGCATCGAATTGCAAGAAGGCGGACTTCGCCGGCTGCGTTTTGCGCGTCGCTGGTCACGACATGATGGACTTCAAGGACGGTAAGGGCGGCTCAGATGCATGCACGGACCTGGACCACGCGGACAACAAGGGCCTCGCGGGGTGTCTCCATTCCGGGGAGCACGGAGTGCATTTGGACCAGGTTTACGGGCAGCATTGCACAACGGTCTCGCTTGCTGATCCGTAAGGGCTTCGCCCCCTGCCGCCGGCCCCCTCTCTCGGAGAATGGGCCATGGAAGAGCGAAGTCATGAGGCTTTGGCGTCGCCGTGAAGCAGTGTCGGGACCTGTTTGTTTTTCGACCCTGACCCTGCGGATCTGCGTGAGGGGTGCTGCCGAATTTCAGACATGTGGCAAATCCCTTGTGTTCTTGAGCCCTGACCCTACGGATCTGCGTGAGGGGTGCCGCTGAATTTTAGAAGTGTGGCTAATCCTTTGTGTTTTTGGACCCTGACCCCGCCGATCTGCGTGAGAGGTGCCGCCGGATTGCAGAAATGTGGCAAATCCTTTGTGTTTTTGGACCCTGAACCTGCCGATCTGCGTGAGGAGTGCCACCGAATTTCAGAAATGTGGCAAATCCCTTGTGTTTTTGGACCCTGACCCCGCCGATCTCCGTGAGGGGTGCTACCAGATTATAGAAATGTAGCACATCCCTTGTGTTTTTGGACCCTGACCCCGACGATCTGCATGAGGGGTATTAGGAAATTGAAATTATTCACTGCGTGGAGCTCCCCATATGTGCATCTACTCGCATGGACTGTCCGCCGTGAATGTCTAGGCGCAAGAGCTTTCGAATATTAACGGGCTTCAGTTGTGACGGTCTGGACATCAATCTAACTGCGAATGAATTGGAGTGTGAATGAGCCTCAGTAGTACGAGCGCGTCTCTGTGCATGAGCCTGGGGCCTCCTGGGGCCTCCTGAAACCTACTGGGGCTTCCTGGGGTCTCCAGGAGCCTCTTGGGACCTCCTGTGACCTCCTAGGAAGGTTTCGTGCCCCAGGAGAGGCGCAATCTATAGCAACAGACGTACATAAACCATTGCGGATTAGAGCCACAGGAAAGGGCAATCTATAGGAACACGCGTAAAACACCAAGGACTCGTGCCCCAGGAGAGGCCCAATACATAGGAACATGAGTAAAACATTTAGGATTGTGTACACAGGAGAAGGACCATCTATAGAAACATACGTAGAACATCAAAGAATCGTGCTCCAGGTGAGGCCCAATCGATAGGAGCATACGTAAAACACATGGGATTGGAGCCACTCCTGTTGCCTTCTGAGGCCTCCTGCTCCTGGGGCCTCTCGGGGCCTCCTGTTGCCTTCCGAGGCCTCCTGGCGCTTCCTGTTGCCTCCTGGGGCCTCCTGTGGTTTCCTGAAGCCTTCTGGAGCTTCCTGGGGCCTCCTGGAGCCTCTTGGGACATCCTGTAGCCTCTTGAGTCTTTCTGTGGCCTCCTGATGCCTCCTGGGACCTCATGTGGTCTCCTGGAGCCTCCTGGAGCCTGTTGGAGCCTCCTGTGGCATCCTGAGAAGAATCTGCGCCCACGAGCCTGGCCACCAAAACTAGCAAACCGATCGAGACATCCTCAAAATCTGGCCCACCTGGGGGGTGAAAATGAGCGCCTCGCTCGAGACATCCTCCAAATCTGCTCCGAAAGCGAAGGATGTTGGGCACAGAAACAAGCAAACCGCCTGAGACATCCCCACAAAATGGCCGCGAACGAGCCCGTGCAACCACCCCTGGCGGCTCCCCTTAGGGGTGCTGAAATGAGCGCCTCGCTCGAGACATCCTCCAAATCTGCTCCGAAAGCGAAGGATGTTGGGCACAGAAACAGGCAAACCGCCTGAGACATCCCCACAAAATGGCCGCGAACGAGCCCGTGCAACCACCCCTGGCGGCTCCCCTTAGGGGTGCTGAAATGAGCGCCTCGCTCGAGACATCCTCCAAATCTGCTCCGAAAGCGAAGGATGTTGGGCACAGAAACAGGCAAACCGCCTGAGACATCCCCACAAAATGGCCGCGAACGAGCCCGTGCAACCACCCCTGGCGGCTCCCCTTAGGGGTGCTGAAATGAGCGCCTCGCTCGAGACATCCTCCAAATCTGCTCCGAAAGCGAAGGATGTTGGGCACAGAAACAGGCAAACCGCCTGAGACATCCCCACAAAATGGCCGCGAACGAGCCCGTGCAACCACCCCTGGCGGCTCCCCTTAGGGGTGCTGAAATGAGCGCCTCGCTCGAGACATCCTCCAAATCTGCTCCGAAAGCGAAGGATGTTGGGCACAGAAACATGCAAACCGCTTGAGACATCCCCACAAAATGGCCGCGAACGTATGTCTGAGTGTGAGTAAGTCTGAGTATGAGTAGGTCTGAGTATGAGTAAGTCTGAGTATGAGTAAGCCCGACAGGAGGGGAGGAGAAAAGAGGAGGAGGAGGAAGGAGGAGGAGTAGGAGGCGTCCAAGTAATAACAAGAACCCCATCTTAGGATATGGGGAAAAAAGTGGCGCATCCCTTGTGTTTATGGAGCCTGACCGCGCCGATCTGCGTGAGGGGTGTCACTGAATTTTAGAAATGTGGCAAATCTTTTTTGTTTTTGGACCCTGACCCCGCCGATCTGCGTGAGGGGTGCCACTGGATTCCAAACATGTGGCAAATCCTATGTATTTTTGGACCCTCAGGGTCCAAAAACACAAGGGAGCTCAGTGAGCTCAGTGAGCTCGCCGATCTGCGTGAGGGGTGCTACCGAATTTCAAAAAAGTGACACATTTTATATGTTTTTGGGCCCTGACCCCGCCGATCTGTGTGAGGGGTGCCGCCGAATTTCAGAAAAGTGGCAAATCCCTTGTGTTTTTGGACCCTGCCGATCTGCGTGAGGGGTGCCAGGAAATTTCAGGAATGTGGCAAATCCCTTTTGTTTTTGGACCCTGACCCCGCCGATCTGCGTGAGGGGTGCCACCGGATTTCAGAAATGTGGCGCATCCCTTTTGTTTTTGGACCCTGACCCCGCCGATCTGCTTGCGGGGTGTCAATTTCTATCCACCCAGGAATTCAGACAATACGATTTCTCCGTGGTAAACATGTCCGTTTTGGGCCTCCCCCCCTCGCGCGGTCCATCAACAAGGCACAGTAGGCAGCAAGAAGTCAACCAGGAACAGTAAGCAGCAAGAAGCATGACTGTCACTTCGGAAACTGGAAGCTGCAACTGGTACAGGAAGCTGCCAACCTCCGGCCTGCAGCCTGGTGGCCCCACAAGGGGGCCGGCGGATTTCTTGGTCATTGCTTCAGAGGCCGTCATGATGGCGACGCGCTCGCGAGCCGGAGGGGCCCAGCTGTCCTTCAAGGACACGTTCCAGTATGGCCGGGCGACGAGTACCACTTGCGCTGACGCGGCGGAGCTGCTCCCCAACCCGCACGACGGATGCGACGCCGTGGAAGAGACATACGTGAAGAACATGGGCTTGACCTGGCGCGAGGCTGCCGCGCTCATGGGCGTGCACAGTCTTGGCCGCGCCGTAATCGCGAACTCGGGCTTCCACGGCTGGTGGAGCGACCCAGTCAACAGCGGCATCTTCAACAACGACTACTACATCTCCCTGATGGCCAAGGGCTGGAAGCCGGAATCGAGCGTGGCAGGCAGGAACGTGAAGCGCCAGTGGGGCCGAAGTGGCAGAGGCCGGGATACGACTTTCGACGGTCACGAGATGATGCTGGACACGGACATGTGCCTGGCGTACAGCTTCAATGGCGAGCCAGTCAAAGCCTCGGAGAATAACTGTTGCGCGTGGGTCAATTTCAGGGTTGGCGGAGCCCAGTGTGGCTCCAAACCGCAGTGCTGCGGTGCCAGGCTGCCAGACTGCGACAGCATCAGGAGCCCCAATGGCCCAGCCGCGTCGCACGTGATCGACTTCGCTAACGACGAGTCGATCTGGCTCAGGGTGTTCGAGAGGGCGTGGGGGAAAGCGACGCAGAACGGCTTCAACCTCAAGCCCCTCGATGATGCAAGCCCGGCGCCAGCACCAGCTCCAACTCCAGCCCCGGATGAGGGCAACAACAGAGGCGGCGGTGGTGGTGGCCGCGGCGGCGGTGGCGGTGGCGGCGGCGGTGGCCGCGGCGGCGGCGGCGGCGGTGGCGGCGGCGGTGGCCGCGGCGGCGGGGGTGGCCGCGGCGGCGGCGGCCGGGACCGCCGATGAGCGCATTCGTTCGCGCTCAAGTGGCAGCAGATGGCAGATGGTCACCTGTGCTTCCCAGACGTGCCACAGATGCGTGTCTTGACAAGCCAGTTGTCCTCAGCTTCCAGGTCCACTGTGCACGCGCATTCAGCAGTGGGGTAGAGCCTTGCGGGAGACGGGCTGCTTTTGAGGTAGACCTCTCTCACAAATTTTGCAGCGTGCCGGCATACATGTCTAGGCCTCCCAGATGGGGCATGGGGTCCGAGTCCATGGGGTCGGAGGATTGCGCCGCAGCGCCGATGCATCGGCGATGCGGCTAGATCAGGAGCCCGACTTTCTCCACGCCGACGTCGCCGATGCATCGCCGATGTGTCGCCGATGCATCGGCGGCGCGGCGCGATCCTCCGACCTCATCTGCTCGGACCCTCATCTGGGAGGTCTCGTACAATCCAATATTGCGCTCAGTTCTCTAATAATCTATTGACGTCGCGAATTGAGCAGCAGAGTCCTCGCATGCGCATCCTGTAGATAATGCTCGCCCGTGGCCTCGGCGTGACGGCGGGTCGCATCCCCTGTCGCGGCGGGCGTGGGCTGGGGCCAGGAGGCCGCTTCCGGCCCCTGCGCTATGCGGGCCTCCGAGAAAAAAAGGAGCAAGGCGAAGCAGCATGAGCGCTCGCGGCTGCGCCAGAAGGCAGGCGGGTGTTGCGCCGCATCGGTTGGCCTACAGCCCTTCTCGAGGTCAAGCGCAAGCTGTGCTCCGGCCCCCTCGCCCCCGAAGCGCAGAGGCGGTGGGCGCGCGCAGGTCGGCCGGCGGGGTCAAAGCAGGACGCAGTCGCCAGTCTCGGCGTGAGCACCTAGACTTGGGCGCCCGGGGGCGCCGCCGAGTCGCGGCGGGGAGGGATGTTTGAGTGGGCGCAGTCAGCTTGAGGCCTCAGCACAGGAAGCGGTAGAGGCGAGAGATCAAACACAAGTGACGAGTATGCAGTTCTGGAGGTAATCTAGGTCTACCTCCTCCTCCTCCTCCTCGTCCTCCTCCTCCTCCTTTTCCTCCTCCTCGGGCCTTTCCGAAACGACAGGTCTGTTCCTAACACCGGAACCCTCGTCGTCGTTGCCATCCTCCTCCTCCTCCTCCTCCTCCTCCTCCTCCTCCTCCTCCTCCTCCGTCCTACTAATATCCAGGTGCTTGCGGCAAGTCCCGCCACCGTGCCATGCCAGTGTTCTGGGTGGCGACTGTTCGGGAAGGCACGGGAGGCCGTAACGTGACACCTCGTGCCTCCAAGGTTGGGGGAGCCGCGATGCTGCTGATGATGATGAGGATGAGGATGAGGACGCTGATGATGATGGTGATGCTATTGATGCTGATGCTCATGCCGATGCTGATGACGATCATTAATTACGATACTACTGCTGATTATGATGCCGATGATGAGTCTGATGATGAGGATGCGGATGCTGAATATGATGATGATGCTGCTGATGATGATGCTGATGCTGTTGATGATGGTAATGATGACGACGGCGACTATGATGATGATGATGGTGATGATGATGATGATGATGATGATGGTGGTGGTGGTGGTAGTTGTGTTGGTGATGATGATGATGACGATGACGGTGATGGTGATGATGATGTTGATGCTGATGGTGGTGGTGATGATGCTACTGACAATGATGATGCAGTTTATGATGATGCTGATGATGAGGGTGGTGATGATGATGAGGACGCGTATCTGGATGCTGATGACGATGATGATGCGAATTATGATGATGATGGTGATGATGATGGTGATGATGATGACAATGATGTTGATGCTGATGATGATGACGATCATTAATTACGATATTACTGCTGATTATGATGCCGATGATGAGTCTGATGATGAGGATGCGTATGCTGAATATGATGATGATGCTAATGATGATGCTGATGTTGTTGATGATGGTAATGATGACGACGGCGACTATGATGATGGTGATGATGATGATGATGATGCTGATGATGATGATGATGATGGTGGTGATGATGGTGGTGGTGGTGGTAGTTGTGTTGGTGATGGTGATGGTGATGATGATGATGATGATGATGATGATGATGATGATGATGATGATGATGATGATGATGGTCATGGTGATGGTGATGGTGATGATGATGTTGATGCTGCTGGTGGTGGTGATGATGCTACTGACAATGACGATGATGATGATGATGATGATGATGCTGATGATGATGATGCAGTTTATGATGATGCTGATGATGAGGGTGGTGATGATGATGAGGACGCGTATCTGGATGCTGATGACGATGATGATGCGAATTATGATGATGATGGTGATGCTGATGGTGATGATGATGACAATGATGCTGATGCTGATGATGATGATGATGATGCTGATGATGATACTGATGATGATGCTGATGATTATGATGATGCTCATTTGGGAGGAGAAGGATGAGGATGAGGAGGCGGAGTAGGAGGAGGACGAGGAAGAGGAGGACGAGGAGGAAGAAGAGGACGGCCGTATCATGTGACACCTTTCGTCTTCATTCTTCGAGTCGCCGAGGTGGTCGTTATTTCCCAAACACCAGCGCTCATTTTCTCACGAAACAGTCGATCTGGATATCCTGCAACAAGTGGTGATTGCAGTCACCGTGGCCTTGGCCCGCATGCGTCGACCTGTGCTTTCTGGGCTTGGTCGCCAGAACGTCGTCGACGGCTTCGGCCTTTTTGCCTTCAGTGAAGATTACCGCATGCAGTCTGCCGCAGGCAATAGGTGGAGTTAATCATTCTTCCTACTTTTCCCCATCCCCCATGTTCGCCATTGTTCTTTTTACTCTTTGGGCTGAGCCCTGTGCATCGTGTGATCCACATTCACCACATCTGCTCATTTCGACAGCTACAGATTGTGCGGTACCCCCTCCCGAAGCAAAGCCAGGGTTGCGTGAACATGTGGTTGCGCATGCGCTTGTGATTTATCTTGCGGTGGGTACACATGGCGCAGAAGCCCCGCCATAAACAAAGTCGTTTTCCCACTAATCATAAGTTAAGCCTGTGCCGTGCTTGATCTCGGGATGGGGTCACTTGAGATCAAGCCTCGCCTTGCCGCTTCCCCCCTCACCATGGGGCGTCGGCATGATGTCGCGAATGTGAAGGACAACGTCCATGGTTGTGAGGAGCAAACAAAGGGCGGGTGATTATGGAGTCCCTCGGTGTTTTTGTACAGTTTTACATTCCTTTCCTTCTCTCATCATTCATATCGTCTTTCTTTCACCCTCTCCCTCTTTCTCTCTGTCTCTTCACCCTGTCAACATATATAGTGTTCTGCCATACGCTTTACTTCTAAACCTGCTGCCGAGGGCGATCGACGCTTCTATAACTCCTTAGATGGTTGTAAAGAGCTTTAGAGGGCTTGGTATTGCGTTAGAGTGCTCTCGATGATTCTTGAGTGTTCCAACACAACACTGGCAATCTTTAGACCGCCATGGTCGCTTCCTGAATGCTCTAGGAATCTCCAGAGGCGGGCGCCACATGAACCCATATTGTCTTTAGCGTTCTAGAGTGCTCGGGAAGGCGTGGGCTGCTTTAACGATAATGCAGGGGTGTTGGAGGACTCTGTTATGCCCAAGTGCATGTTTGAGGGTTCCAGGAGTTCTTTTTATGTTTTTTGTTTGGGGGGGGGGGGAGGGGTGCTCAGAGGATACCAAGCGCTAAGCAGCAGGCTCCAGAGGGCTCCAGAATGCCGCGAGGGATCCCAGCAGGCTTCTGGACCGTGCTCGTGAGCGCCCTCTCAGGCTCCAGGCGGCGCCCCGAAAAAAGAATCTGTAAGGGCTTCTGACTGGCGGCCCGGGCGGGCGGGGCCCATAACGGGCGGGCCGGGCGGGCGGGACCTTCCAGCGGGTGGGCCTGCCAGCACGCGCACGGGTGGGACCCTGACGGGTAGGCCAGGCGGGCAGCACCCTCACGCGACGGCCGGGCGGGCGGGGCCCCTCACGGGCGGGTCGGGCGGGCGGGACGTGAAAGCGGGCGGAGGGGCCTGCCAGCACGCGAACGGGCGGGACCCTCAGGACCCGACGGACGACGACGACGACGACGACGACGACGACGACGACGACGACGACGACGACGACGACGACGACGACGACGACGACGACGACGACGACGACGACGACGACGACGACGACGACGACCAGCGCCTTGGCGAAACCAGCCGTCGACGAACTCGGCCCCGGCGATACCACCGTCAGCGACACCAGCTGGCGGCGAAGCCGGCCGTCGGCGAAAGCAGCTGGCGGCGAAGCCGGCCGTCGGCGAAGCCAGCCGTCGCCGCTCCAGGCTGGGCGGCCCGCGCGGCGGCGGAGTTCCCCTCCGCCGCGCGGGTGTGGGGGCGCGCGGCGGGCGTGCCTGCGGGGCGTCGCAGGGCCGGGCCGCAGCGGAAGCCCCTCCAGCTTCTTCCGCCCCGCTCGCGCGCGCCCCGCTGCCGCCCCGCTTCCGCCCCAGACTCGTTCCCTCCTCCCTCCTTCCCCCTCGATTCGCATTTTTGTCGGCGCTCCGGCGCCACCGCCGGACTCTCGTAGGGCCGTGACCCCCCGGGACGACTGACCGGCGCCTCGCCTCGCCTCGCCTCGCCCCAGACTCGTTCGGCAGCAGATCATGGGAGCCTTGTGTACCCTCGCAGTTTCGTCCCTGGATTGCTTTCGCGTCGATTGGCGTCTGGTCATCGGTGGGATAGTGCCGATTTGGCGTCGAGTAGCGTCGATCAGCGTCGACGAGCGTCGACTCGCAAAAGCCAACAAGATGGTTTGGGAGGCTCCTACGAGTTGCCACAAAGGACTCCTTCGCGTCGTGGCAGAAGTCTCGTCGGGAGGTTTCTGGCCGTTTTCGGCCCCTCGGGGGCCCTCCCTGGGCCCCGGGTCTTTTGAAAAACGATTCAGGATGAAAAATTCAGGGGGGAAACAACATGAACATAATTAATCGCCGACTCCCAGGAAATATGGGGAAGTATGGGAAGTGAGGGGGAAGACGAAAACCTAGAAAACATTGGAAAATATAGGGAATCATGGGATTTGTGTGTATTTATTTGTGTGTCCTTTGCAGTTCTAAAAGCGGACCTTGGGGAATGGGTCGAGACCTCTGGGGTCGACGTTGTGAACCCGCTTTTCTGCCCCTCAGGCCCCGAGATCCGGCGCCTCGAAAAAATCCAGGCCGCTTTTCCCCACCCTCCTGTGTTGGGCTCTCGTTTTGAATAGGGCACTGGCCTCCACTCCTCCTTCCCGCATCCTCCTCCTCCTCCTGCGTCCTCGTCCCCCTCCCCCTCCTCCTCCTCCTCCTCCTCCTCCTCCTCCTCCTCCTCCTCCTCCTCCTCCTCCTCCTCCTCCTCTTCCTTCCTCCTCTTCATCCCTCTCGCGGCTCCCCGAGGGGCTGCGAGGTGTGAAGCTGTCGCCCTGTTCGTGGGCTCCTGGGAGGTCCAGCGGAGTGGAGGGCCACGCGGAGCCAGCGAGACCTCGCAGCTCCTTGAGGGGGCTGCGGGGTGCGCAGCGGTCGCCGCTCTCGTGGGCTCCCGGAGCAGGTGCCGCGGAACGCAGCACGCCCAGCAAGAGAGACCACGCAGCCCCCCGGCCGAGACCGCGCAGACCGAGCCGAGCCACGCGCTCTTCTGCGCCTTTTTCCTGCAGCGCCCTTCCGTTTCCACTTCTGTCGGTTTGTTTGTTTGTTTGTTTGTTTGTTTGTTTGTTTGTTTGTTTGTTTGTTTGTTTTTACCTAACAGCTTTTGCTGATAGGTTTCCAGTGGACTCAAAAGAGAGCAGCAGATGACTCCGCAGGGGGGTCGGGGCGGCATCCGGGGAGCTGTGTCCGAACTCGTGTCCGAATGCGCTTTTCGCAAACAGTCACACACTTCGTGCTCTTCGACCTCCCAGAACTCCATTCCCGGGCCACATTCTGAATGCCCGGAGCCAACTGTAGGCCAATTCGTGCTCTTCGACTTCCCAGAACTCCATTCCCGGGCCACATTTTGAATGCCCGGAGCCAACTGTAGGCCACTTCGTGCTCTTCGAGTTCCCAGAACTCCATTCCCGGGCCACATTTTGAATGCCCGGAGCCAACTGTAGGCCACTTCGTGCTCTTCGACTTCCCAGAACTCCATTCCCGGGCCACATTTTGAATGCCCGGAGCCAACTGTAGGCCACTTCGTGCTCTTCGACTTCCCAGAACTCCATTCCCGGGCCACATTTTGAATGCCCGGAGCCAACTGTAGGCCACTTCGTGCTCTTCGAGTTCCCAGAACACTATTCCCGGGCCACATTTTGAATGTTCGGAGCCAACTGTAGGCCACTTCATGCTCTTCGAGCTCCCAGAACTTCATTCCCGGGCCACAGTTTGAATGCCCAGAGCCAACTGTAGGCCACTTCGTGTTTCTTCGAGTTCCCAGAACTCCATTCCCGGGCCACATTTAAATGCCCGGAGCCAACTGAGGCTGAGGCAGGCTGCTGCTGAGGCAGGCTGAGGCTGAGGCTGAGGCAGGCTGAGGCTGAGGCAGGCTGAGGCTGAGGCTGAGGTTGAGGCTGAGGCTGAGGCAGGCTGAGGCAGACGCTGAGGCAGGCTGATGCTGAGGCAGGCTGAGGCTGAGGCTGAGGCTGAGGCTGAGGCAGACTGAGGCTGAGGCTGCAGGCTGAGAGGCTGAAGGCAGGCTGAGGCTGAGGTTGAAGCAGGCTGAGGCTGAGGCCGAGGCAGGCTGATGCTGAGGCTGAGGCAGGCTGATGCTGAGGCAGTCTGAGGCTGAGGCTGAGGCAGGCTGAGGCTGAGGCTGAGGCAGGCTGAGGCAGAGGCTGAGGCAGGCTGATGCGGAGGCAGGCTGAGGCTGAGGCTGAGGCTGAGGCTGAGGCTGAGGCTGATGCAGGCTGAGGCTGAGGCAGGCTGAGGCTGAGGCCGAGGCTGAAGGCAGACTGAGGCTGAGGCTGAGGCTGAAGCAGGGTGAGGCTGAGGCTGAGGCAGGCTGAGGCTGAGGCTGAGGCAGGCTGATACTGAGGCAGGCTGAGGCTGAGGCTGTGACTGTGACTGCCGTTGCCACTGCGACTGTCATCGCGAATGCGACTGCGACTGCGAGAACAGGAGAATTCTACAACTGGATTCTCATCTGGATCTTAAGGGGAATGTTTCCATCTAATCTTCTACACATCGCTGTTAGGTTGCTTTGCCGGGATAATTTTGTTTGTTTGTTTGTTTGTTGGTTGGTTGTTGCAGTGGAGGCCCATGCCAGGAAGCACCTTGCTTGCATCCAGGGTGCCCTGGGCTTCTCTCGAGTTTCGCGGGCTTTGCCATGGAAATGGAAGGCGCGACGTTCCCAGACCAGAAATCGGTGGGCGTCCCGGGGTCCCGGGTATGGGTTTCTCGTGGACGGTTTCTTGTGGTCGGGCCCCCACTGTACTCTCGTTACCGCGCTCTTCCGATTTCACTTCTGGAGGCTCCTGCGCACTGCGGGTCCTTCAAAATGTTCGTCCGTATTGGGCGGTCCTGGGTAAGTTTCGTCACAGGTTTAGAAAGGGCTGGGCACACGTTGCAGGGTAGCTCGTGGTTTCCGGCCTCTCGAGGCCCTGACGGGGCCTCGGGGCCGTCAGAAACAACGATTCGGGAGGAAATACTGGTCCTGGAGAAGTGTCGGGCCGGACGAAAGGGGGGGATTGGGAAAGGGGGGGGGTACGAAATTTGCTGCATGCAGCTGGTTTCGACCTCACCGAAGGGCCCATTCCTCGATACATAGCCGCCTCGGGAAAATCAGCTACGTGAGCTGATTCTCAGACCCCCCTTTGCTATCCCCTCCTTTTCGCCCGACCCGAAAGTGGCCGAGAGGTAAGGGGTCAGCGTCTCGAGCAAAATGATAAGAGACGCAGGACGTCTTGGGGGGGGCCACGGCAGGGGCTGGGGCGGGAGGCCGAGGCTCCAGGAGTGGTGCAGCGACCCCCGTCGGCGACCATTGCGGTTGCCGACGGGGGCCCGATGGCCCCCCCCGCCCAGACCCGTGCGGCTTTCGCTGTCGGGAACCCGGCGCCGCTCCATCGGCGATGCATCGCCGATTTCGGTCGGCGTCCCAAACGTACTCGTACTCGGGGGCGGCAAAGAAGGGGGTGATGACTAGGGGGGGGTGGATCTCATGGCGGGGGCCATGATATTTCCCCAGATTTCAGGGCGCCTCCCCTTGTTTCATGACGTCCCTGGCCCCCCCGCTGGGCCGCGCACATGCCGCCGGTCATGATTTGCACCCCCCCTCTTGGACACCCTCCTCTTGGCCGCTCCCGATCCAGGGGGCCCTGGGCTTCTTGGGCTTCGATGGTGTTGCTGTGGCAGACGTGACGTTCCCACCCCCAAAAATCAGGGGACGCCCTGGGGCCTCAGGGTTGGGCTTCTTGTTGAGGAAGGTCTCTCGTGGTCGAGCGTCGCCATCAAGAAGGGCGCGCGTCGCCACCAAGAAGGTGCGCGTCGCCACCAAGAAGGTGCGTGTCGCCACCAAGAAGGGCGCGCGCCGAAAAATACTATAGCTTCTGCTCGGTGGCGTGCGCTCTCTGGGCCACAAGCGCCCGGGTGGCGCTACGCCACTCTGTGAGGTGCTTGCCCGTGCAGAGCATATCCGCGGCTCGGACGTGCGCCTCCCCTCCGAAGGGGGGCGCGCACCCTACTCGGGAGGGGGAGAAAACACAGACACAATTCATCGTCGACTCCCAGGAAAAGATGGGGAAACTATGGGAATTGGGGGGGAAGACAAGAACACCCAGAACAGATTGGAAAACATGGGGAGTCCTGTCATCTGTGTGCACTTTTTTTTTGCGTGTCCCAGGGCCCCTTCACAGAAGCATGCCCCTCCGCGTCCCGTCCAGCTCGCTGCCTCCCCTCCCCGAGCCGGCCCCCCCCCCCCTCGACCTGCCCCCCCGAAATGGGTGCTGAAAGAATGGGTATTATGCCCAACAGCAGTTCCTGTTCATTTTGAACAAGATCCGCTGTCCACGCCGCCGCGGCCTGTGTCCATTCGAGACAGGAGGCCGCCTGCCCAACAGCGGCCGCTGTTGGTTTGGGACAACATTTGTTGTTGGGCATTGTACCCGTTCTTTCGGTACCCATTTCGGGTGTCCAAATCGGCCCCGCTCTCGCCCAGCTCCCGCTCGCGGCTCCCGCCCCCGCCGCTCGCCCCCGCCGCCCGCCCCCCGCTCTCCCGTCGCGAGGCCTTCCGAGACACCGACCCGGGCATCGACGACTTCGAGGAGAAGCTGAACAGCTTCCTGAAGGTGCGCTCACACTTTCTGCTCCTCCTCCTCCTCCTCCTCCTCCTCCTCCTCCTCCCACTCCCCCTCCTCCTCCTCCTCCTCCTCCTCCTCCTCCTCCTCCTCCTCCTCCTCCTTCTCCTCCACCCACCAAACCACCCCAACCCAACGTTCCAGTCGTCCTTAAAACATTTGCAGCAGCTTCAATTCTGTTGCATCTTCGGGGGGCCTCGCCTGTCCCCCCAAAAATGGTGTCTTTTGGGGGGCCCGACGCGTGCTCGATGCGGACTCGACGCGGATTTGGCGTGGATTCGACGCGGATTCGACACGGATTCGACACGGATCCGACGCGTCCGACATGGATTCGACATGGATTCGACGCGGACATGGCCGCGACGGGACAGACAAGGTCCCCCGAGGATGCAACATAACACATTGAACATCACACGTTTTTTCCATGATTATTGGTTGTCATACAGTGACCTCCTGCTGGTTCCAGCGTGGACCCCAAAGAGTGTGCTCTAGGAGGTTCTGTTGTGCAGTCGACCTGGTGCAGTCTATGTGGTGCAAAATATGCTTCACAACCCATGGTGTGTAATCTTTGTGGAGTAATCGATGTGGTAGAATCTATGTGGTGCCATATATGTGGTCAAATCTTTGAGGATCAATCTATATTGTGCGTTGCTCCGTGCGTGGAATCGTCCTTCGGCAAGCACTTTTGCCACCTTGGAGTCAGTGTGAACTGTGGCGGGGGCGCCGCTGTACGCGTCCGCCTGCGCATCCATCCCTGCAAGTCCATGCAGAAGCCCAGATGGGTGCTGCCAGCTCTGATGTGGTAGATGTGGCTTTGCCGTAGCACTTGACCTTCGTGTTGCCATCGTGCCTAGGTGGATGAAGCCATCCTCGCCCTCGATGGTGATGACACCAGGCCGGGCGTCCTTCGTTGGGTCGGCTTGGTGCGTGCCGTCGGTGTGCAAGTGGAGCGGCTTTACCGTCCCAGGTCGTCGTAGTGGGGCTAGCTCCAAGGCCATGATGGCAGCTGGGTGGGATCCCTCTGGATTGTGTAGGTCTTGGAAGTGGACTGTGAGTCGGGGTAGGGAGGTGCGACGTACGTCGTAGGACATCGGCGATCGGGGTCGAACCGCTTCTCTCGTCTGTTGTCCCTGATGTCGGCTTTCCTGTGGTGATTCCTCTCGCACTGAGCAGGTTTCGTCCTCAGGTTGGCCATGTCCGAGCAGGACCTGAATCGGTGGCGCCAGTAGTGGTTCGGCTCCGCCTCTTCCCAGTGTCGAGCAAGAGACGTTGTCGATGCCGTAGCTCTCACCTGTATCCGTCTTCGCAGGTTGGCGACCAAGCTGTCGTAGAGGTTGGAGTGGACGTCCCTCATCCTGTACTCCTCCTCGCACGCTATTTGGGTCTTGGCTGCCGCTCTGTGCTGCGTCGGGCGCATCTGTGCTCGTCGGCTCCACAGCTGCTTGTGGAGGATGCGCTCGTCTTGTCTGCACCACGTCTCGTCCGTCAATCCGCCACCCTGCATCCAGGGCCTGGCCGTTGGCTCTGCAGTCCACCTGAACGGTGCCATCGCCGGTCCTTGCCTGAACTGGCCCCCGTGGCTCCCCCCATGGAATTCTGCCACTCGGCGATTGCAACGCTGGAACGTTCGTGAGGCGCGCGCGGCCTGCGGTGGGGTAGGCTGGTCTGGACGAACGCCTTTGAAGCGTGGTGCTCCAGACTCGCCCCGGGCAGCGCGGCTGATGCCCGACGTCGCGCTGCCCCGTGGCCGCCGGCCGGATGCCGCGGCAGCCCCCGAAGCCTGGGCCGCACGGCCGGCCGCTGGGTGCGGCATCCACTGCCGCATCGGTGCGGTCGTCGCACGGCCTGGGGAAGTTGCCCTTGCCCTGGCCGTTGATGCCCTTGTTCCGGCAGGTGTCGGGCCGTCGGGCTGCCCACCGCGCGGCTCCGGTTGGCCCTTCCTCCGCCGTGCGAGGCCTGCGCCACTCGCGGGCTCGGGCTCTGCTGGGCGCGTCGGTGGCCCCCTGCTTGGCGCGGGCTGCTCGGGGCTGGTCTCCATGGCGATGCTGGGCTCGGTGGCCTGCTCGCGGTGGATCTCCATGGTGCTGCCATGGTGAGAGCTCGCGGTGGACGTCGCGGTGGTTGCTGCGCACTGCGGTGACGCACCCGTAGCTGCTGTGTGTACTACACCCGGAGGGGTGTCCGCGGGGGCTGGCCCTCTGGCGTCGGGGCCGCCCGTGCCTGGCGGGGGCTCCTGGACCTGGCAGTCGTGGATGTCGTCGTGGGCCCACGCGGGGCACGGGACAAACTGTTCAGGCTGTGGATGTTGGCGTGCTATTGCGACCGCCTCGCGGAGGAAAGGCGGGCGGCATGCTTGCCGCCGCCTCGGTGGAAGTTCTGTGCCTCGCGGGAAACCTCTCGGGCGTACGAAGCTGTATCCTCCTCCTCCTCCTCCTCCTCCTCCTCCTCCTCCTCCACCTGCTCGTCCTCCCCCTTCCGTCGCCATTTTGGCTCAAGTCATCCTGCGCCCCCCCCTCTCTCGTTCTCATTGGCCCCACCGCGCCCGCGCCGCATGGCCCTCTGCTTCCATTCTCTCGCGGGATGTGCTGCGTGTTGATTGTGCGCAAGTCACCTGGAGGTGTTTCCTTCCTTTGGCCACGTGGGGCTCAACTACGCGCTAGGGGCTCGAGAATCCATGGACGTGCCGCTCGTATCTCGACTCGATCCTGTACCGAGTTCCAGGAGGCCTGCTCAGCGGTGGTGCAGCTGCGGGATTGCCGCGCCGGTGCGGCCCGCGATTCTCCTCGGCCGGACGCGGTGGCCTCGCAGATGGCGGACCTCAGGCGTGATATTCTACAGCAGTATGGATTGGAGATGGTTCATGGTGCCTCCCCCCACGCACCCGTGCTTTGCGGACTGCAGTCAGGCGGGGTGAGGAACGCAATCTATTTTCGCCGCTGGTCACCCGCCACATGCTGTAGATCGTTCGGCGGGCCAGCTTTGCTCGGCATAGTCGTTGGTATTCCCGCAGGAGCTGGAGGGTGTCTGGGTCGATGGCACCCCTGCGGGCAGAGGCTTCAGAGTTTGTTCCTAGTTTACCCCTGGTCTGGGCAGACGCTGATATTTCATGGCGCGAACCTTCAATGTGGCGATGGACGTCGGGGTGGTTAGGGGAACAAGAAGTGACATAAACATAAAAACTCGGAGTTACGCGCGGATTTCTCGGATCTGCGCTGGACCTCCTCCCTGCAGGGGCGGCGCCGGAGGCGCCGCCGGGGGGCCCCAGCGCCGATCCGAGAAATCCGCGCGGACCTCCGAGTTTTTATTCCCCATATCCTAAGATGGGGTTCTTGTTATTCCCCATATCCAAAGATGGGATTCTTGTTATTGGCGGACCGCGCCGGAAGGACACAGAACAGGACAGAACACCACACCCATCACTCACCACTCATCACTCAGACTCACCACTCAGATACACTCATCACTCAGACTCACTCATGCTCTCTCATCACTCAGACTCAGTCATCACTCAGACTCAGGCGATTCGCTCGTCTCAGCAATCTAAGGGGGGCGGCGGGGGGGTATTTCACGGGGTCCCGTTCGCGGAATTTTGTGGGGATGTCTCAGGCGGTTTGGCCATTTTCTGATCCAACATGTTTCGTTTTCGGAGCAGATTTGGAGGATGTCTCAGGCGATTCGCTCGTCTCAGCACTCTAAGGGGGGCGGCGGGGGGGTATTTCACGGGGTCCCGTTCGCGGAATTTTGTGGGGATGTCTCGAGCGGTTTGCTTGTTTTCTGTGCCAGCATCTTTCGTTTTCGGAGCAGATTTGGAGGATGTCTCGAGCGAGGCGCTCATTTTGACCTCCCAGGTGGGCCAGATTTTGAGGATGTCTCGAGCGGTTTGCTTGTTTTGGTGGCCAGGCTCGTGGGCGCAGATTCTTCTCAGGATGCCACAGGAGGCTCCCACAGGCTCCAGGAGGCCCCAGGAGACCACATGAGGTCCCAGGAGGCATCAGGAGGCCACAGAAAGACTCAAGAGGCTACAGGATGTCCCAAGAGGCTCCAGGAGGCCCCAGGAAGCTCCAGAAGGCCTCAGGAAACCACAGGAGGCCCCAGGAGGCAACAGGAAGCGCCAGGAGGCCTCGGAAGGCAACAGGAGGCCCCGAGAGGCCCCAGGAGCAGGAGGCCTCAGAAGGCAACAGGAGTGGCTCCAATCCCATGTGTTTTACGTATGCTCCTATCGATTGGGCCTCACCTGGAGCACGATTCTTTGATGTTATACGTATGTTTCTATATATTGTCCTTCTCCTGTGTACACAATCCTACATGTTCCTATATATTGGGCCTCTCCTGGGGCACGAGTCCTTGGTGTTTTACGCGTGTTCCTATAGATTGCCCTTCTCCTGTGGCTCTAATCCGCAATGTTTTATGTACGTCTGTTGCTATAGATTGCGCCTCTCCTGGGGCACGAAACCTCCCTAGGAGGTCCCAGGAGGCCCCAAGAGGCTCCTGGAGACCCCAGGAAGCCCCAGTAGGTTTCAGGAGGCCCCAGGAGGCCCCAGGCTCATGCACAAAGACGCGCTCGTACTACTGAGGCTCATTCACACTCCAATTCATTCGCAGTTAGATTTATGTCCAGACCGTCACAACTGAAGCCCGTGTATATTCGAAAGCTCTTGCGCCTAGACATTCACGGCGGACAGGTCCATGCGAATAGATGCACATATGGGGAGCTCCACGCAGTGAATAATTACTTGGACGCCTCCTACTCCTCCTCCTTCCTCCTCTTTCCTCCTCCCCTCCTCATACTCAGACTTACTCATACTCATCAGACTTACTCATACTCAGAACTTTCTCATACACAGACCTACTCATACCAGACTTACTCATACACAGACTTACTCATACACAGACTTACTCATACTCAGGCATACTCATACTCAGACCTACTCATACTCAGACTTACTCAACACACATCAGATTTGGAGGATGTCTCAAGCGGGGCGCTGGTTTCAGCACCCCTAAGGGGAGCCGCCAGGGGTGTTTGCACGGGCTCGTTCGCGGCCATTTTGTGGGGATGTCTCAGGCGGTTTGCTTGTTTCTGGGCTCAACATCCTTCGCTTGGAGAGCAGATTGTGAGGATGTCTCAGGCGGGGCGCTGGTTTCAGCACCCCTAAGGGGAGCCGCCAGGGGTGGTTGCACGGGCTCGTTCGCGGCCATTTTGTGGGGATGTCTCAGGCGGTTTGCTTGTTTCTGGGCTCAACATCCTTCGCTTTCGGAGCAGATTTGGAGGATGTCTCGAGCGAGGCGCTCATTTTCACCCTCCAGGTGGGCCAGATTTTGAGGATGTCTCGATCGGTTTGCTTGTTTTGGTGGCCAGGCTCGTGGCCCTAAGGGGAGCCGCCAGGGGTGGTTGCACGGGCTCGTTCGCGGCCATTTTGTGGGGATGTCTCAGGCGGTTTGCTTGTTTCTGGGCTCAACATCCTTCGCTTTCGGAGCAGATTTGGAGGATGTCTCGAGCGAGGCGCTCATTTTCACCCCCCAGGTGGGCCAGATTTTGAGGATGTCTCGATCGGTTTGCTTGTTTTGGTGGCCAGGCTCGTGGCCCTAAGGGGAGCCGCCAGGGGTGTTTGCACGGGCTCGTTCGCGGCCATTTTGTGGGGATGTCTCAGGCGGTTTGCTTGTTTCTGGGCTCAACATCCTTCGCTTTCGCAGCAGATTTGGAGGATGTCTCGAGCGAGGCGCTCATTTTCACCTCCCAGGTGGGCCAGATTTTGAGGATGTCTCGATCGGTTTGCCTGTTTTGGTGGCCAGGCTCGTGGGCGCAGATTCTTCTCAGGATGCCACAGGAGGCTCCAACAGGCTCCAGGAGGCCCCAGGAGACCACATGAGGTCCCAGGAGGCATCAGGAGGCCACAGAAAGATTCAAGAGGCCACAGGATGTCCCAAGAGGCTCCAGGAGGCCCCAGGAAGCTCCAGAAGGCCTCCGGAAACCACAGGTGGCCCCAGGAGGCAACAGGAAGTGCCAGGAGGCCTCGGAAGGCAACAGGAGGCCCCGAGAGGCCCCAGGAGCAGGAGGCCTCAGAAGGCAACAGGAGTGGCTCCAATCCCATGTGTTTTACGTATGCTCCTATCGATTGGGCCTCACCTGGAGCACGATTCTTTGATGTTCTACGTATGTTTCTATATATTGTCCTTCTCCTGTGTAAGCAATCCTACTTGTTTTACTTTTGTTCCTATATATTGGGCCTCTCCTGGGGCACGAGTCCTTGGTGTTTTACGTGTGTTCCTGTAGACCCATATACAATATTACCTTTTAAAAAATGATGCACATATGGGGAGCTCCATGCAGTGAGTAATGTTTATGTGACTTTTTGTTTCCCTAGTGGTGCTGGGGATCCTCAGGCTTACCCTGCTCGTGATCCTTGGCCCGAGGTTGCGGCCTATCTGCAGGGGGACCCGAGGGGGCAGACGGCGCTCGTGGACCAGGTGCACTTTGATGCCGGTGGCGGCAAGACGAACGAGGATCTGGAGGGCTTCCTCGACCAGGGCGGCGACGGCGGGACGAACGAGGAGCAGGAGACCATCCTCGACCAGGTGCTCGTCGAGGACAGCTGCGAGGGCGTAGAGGAGCAGGAGCAGGACTTCGCCATTGACCAGGTGCACTACGATGACGGCGACGTCGGGACGATAGAGGAGCATGAGGCCATCGTCTTCGGCACGGTGCTCAACTCGGACGGCGGTGACAGCGCGAGGGCGGAGCAGGAGTCCATCATCGACCAGGTACTTTACAAGGGGCAGCAGCAGGATATCTCCTTCGACCAGGTGCATTACGGTGACGGCGGCGACGGAAATAAGGAGGAACTGGAGGCCTTCTTCTTCGGCGCGGTGCTCAATGTGGACGTTGGCGTCGGCGGGATGCAGGAGCAGGAGGCCATCATCAACCAGGTGCTCTACGAGGACGGCGGCGACGGTACAGGGGAGGAGCCGGAGGACATCGTCATTGACCATGTGCTCTACGATGACGGCGACGGCTGGGCGAAGGAGGAAAAGGAGACAATTTTCTTCACGGTGCGCCAGGAGGGCGGTGGCGACATGGTGAAGGAGGAGCAGTAGGCCATGTTTGACCAGGAGCTCTACGATAACGGCTGCGACTTCGGGCGCTACGGGGCGAAGGAGGAGCAGGAGGCCATCATCGACCATGTGCTCTCGGATGACGGCTACGACTTTGGGTACTACGCGGACGGTGGCGACGGGACGAAGGAGGAGCAGGAGTACATCATTGACCAGGTGCTCTACAATGACGGCTACGTCGTCGGGCAGGAGGACGTTCAGGGCTCCGGTGGCGGCTTCGGCGGTGCGGCTGGGTGGCGGTGGTGCCGGCGGGGGCATTGGCGGCTGGGGCGGAGGCGGTGGCGGCGGCTGTACATGGCGATTCTCTTTATGATGATGGTGCTTCGCTGCAGGGTTTCCTTGATTCCGCGGACAGGCAAGGCAAGATGGTGAATTTCGCGTGGGGCCCGATGTGTGTGCAGAGCTGGGTGGCGAGTTACTCCGACCTGAGGGTGACGACCGTCTTCGGTACGAGGGTCCCTATCACACGATGGGTTATGCGGACGATGTTCGTGGTGCCGACTCTCGAGTTGCGGATCATCCCGTGGTACAAGATAGTGATCGCCCAGTGGGTCGGCAACATGATGATCGTGATCGGACGGCCCGTGGCGGAGTACGTGGCGCAAGGGGTGGAGATTTGCATCGCCTCTCTGAGGTCCCTCAAAGTGTTGCTGCTCGTTTCTTGTTCTTCGACTTGCCCGCGGCTGTCAAGGAAGAGGACATCCGCATGTACTTCGGCGCGTTTGCCACACTCGAGGAGGTGACCTTGAAGAAAATTGAGTCCAATGGAACGGCTGTGGGGTCGGTGAAGTACGTTTCTCAGTCGGCCAAGCTTCGTGACCTGATCCTTCGGGCCAAGCACATGATAACTGGGTACCCGATCCAGGTTCAGGTGCACAGGAGCTTCAGAACAGCTGTAAAGGAGAGGGTGACTCGCTGGGAGCAGGAAGTTGCGGAGAATGTGAAGGCGGAGCCGGTGGCGAAAGCGCATCAGGGAGTTGCAGTCCAGGCGAGAACAAAGGCTAAGGAGAGGTCCATCAAGGCCTTGGATGGGTGGGGCTGTGCGGTGCGCGAGGGCAGGGTGGCCGAGACGAGGATTGAAAACAAACAACTCGTTCTTCTCGTCCTCCTCCTCCTCCCTTCCGTAGCTATATGGCCTCGAGTGAGTCTGCTCACTCTTTACGGACTGCCCCTCTGCGCGGCCGCGCAGGCGCCGAGGCACGCGATGGCCCGTCCGCGCGGAGGCATCACGGCACGCCATGGCAACTTCATCGCGCATGTGAGCGATGTGCAAACGGCGGCCATGCTCATGAAGGAGTTGGCGGACCTGGAGGGCACTCGCAGCGTGCAGTGCCCGAGTGACTTCGAGGGGCTTCGTCGTGATGCTCGTGAGGTGTTGCAGGTTGTGATGCTCGTCTTGGGCGCAAGGCGTCTGGAGCAGACGTTCGGCTGGGATTGGTGAGGCGCGGCTTCAAGGAGCTCGCGGATGACTTCTGCGCGTGGCGATCGTGCCGCCGCTGGCAGCTCATCCAGTTGACGGTGGACTTCCTCGGCGGATTCTCGAAGGCCTCCGCGCTCCTGTGAGCGAGCCCTCGGCCAGCGAGGGCTCGACGGCTTCTGGGGTCGAGGACGAGCTCACGGACCGCAAGGCGGGTGCCGGGGCGAAGGGCCTGCTGAAAACCGAGAGCAAGTCCATAAACGAGGTCGTGCGCAACCGTGTCGAGGCCCAGCGTGAGGTGGAGACCAAGCGCGAGCGGAGCCACGTCGAGGGCATCCTGCAGAAGGGCAGTCCGCACGGCAGAGTCCGAGCGGCAGTTGGCTAAGTAGACGCAGGGCACTATGGAGGCAGAGCGCAAGGCGAAGGTCGATGCCGAGAGCGAGCTGAGCCTCCTTGAGGACATGCTGCAGGAGGCAGTGCGCACGGCAGAGGCAGAGCGCAATATGGCGCAGCAGCCGCAGAGCATGGCGGAGGCAGTGCGCAAGGCCAAAGTCGAGATGGAGAGCAAGCTCGTGGAGGCCGAGCGCTCAGCACAGCACTTCGAGGGCATGCTGCACGAGGCAGAGCGCAAGGCAGAGGTCGAGCGCAAGCTGACCACCCTGGAGAACTGGGAGTTCGCAGACGAGACCACAAAGTCGATGGTTCGGCAGGCAACCCTCGCGGGCTACGGAGTGGCGCAGCTGTCCGAGCTCCTTAACGCTCTGCTGAAAGAGGCTGCTGGCTTCTGAGGCAGAGTTCTGTGCTGGTGTAGTGCAGTACGCTGGTGTGCAGTTTTTTCCTTCGAAAAATGTGTTTCTTTTTTTTGATGGTGGGAGAGTTTTAGGCAGTGCAGCCGATGCCGTTGATGTCAGACTGCTGCCACCGTGTTTGGGCAAGGGGCTCCGGATGCTGGCGTGCAACCCTGCAGGGTTAAGCGGCCCATCCCCCGTCTCTAGCCAGCGGCAGAGATGCGACGAGGGATGGGCTGCGCATTTTGTGGTTCCCGTGGCTTTCAATCGAGGGAGCCCCCAGGGCAGAGAGCAGGCGGATAGGGGTGAACCCTTGACCTGCTGACAGGGAAGACGACGGCCAGCCTTTTTCCTCAGAGGGGGCCCTGTCTTGGCTCCTGGCTGGTCTTCGGCTTTTCCAGCCAGGGTGACAAAAAGGTCCTTTCGGATGGGCCCCCATAAAGGGTTTTTTCGCTGGACCGTCGGACTCTCTCTCTCTTCTCTCTCCCTCGTTGGCGTGCGATCCTCTTCCTCCTCCTCCTCCTCCTCCTCCTCCTTCTCCTCCTCCTCCTCCTCCTCCTCCTCTTCCTCCTCCTCCTCCTCCTCCTCCTCCTCCTCCTCCTCCTCCTCCTCCTCCTCCTCCTCCTCCTCCTCCTCCTCCTCCTCCTCCCCCCTTCCCCCCTCCTCTCCCCCCCGTTCAGGTCGAGGAGCTGGTCCAGGGCATGGAGGCGCAGCACCAGATCTCGGCGCTGATGTTGCAGACCGCCCCGCTCGCGGGGCGCCCAGCGACCCCCCTCGCGACCTCTCGCGGCGCTCCCGCGCCCCTCCTCGGCGCGCCGCGCCTCCTCGCGGCCCTCCTCGCGCCCTTCGGCCTCGCGCCCCCCCTGCCCCCCCCCCCCTCGCAGCCCCTCCTCTCGCGCCCTTCGGCCTCGCGCCCTCCCGCGGCCTCGCGGCCTTTCGCGGCCGTTCCTCCCGGAGCCCCCAGCGTCGCCCCCGGCCCCGCTCCCGGCCGCGCATCGGCGCGGCCCCGAGGCAAGGGCTCCTCGGAGGCTCCGTCGGGCATCCCTTGGAGAGGTCGGCCAGGGCTGCCAGGGCTGCCGCGAAGACCCTGGCGCGAGGCCCGCCGATGCCCGCTGCCCCCCCCCCAGCCGCTCGCGGCTTCTCCCCCCTCCCTCAGCTCGGATGGGGGCGCTGCCTCGGAGGAGGGCGCCGCGGCTCAGTTGTTTTGAGACGCCCGTGTTGAAGCGTAATGCGTGCCGTGCTCAAGACGCCCGTGTGAACACGCTGCGTGCTGTCTCGGCACGTGACGGCCCACGTTGTGGCGAGTGCATCGCGCCACACCTCCGTTTTTCTCAGTTCAGTCTGCGTGCTGAGCTCCGTGTACCGGGGCGGCTGAACACCGCGGGCTCGGCACCCGCTTGCCTCCCTCCCTCCCCTCGTCTCCTCTGCACGCTGTGCCGGGCCGGCGCGCCCCCCCCAGAAGACAGCCACGGCGCGGCTCTCGGCGGCTCTTCGGAAGATCCCTCCAGGACACGTCGGAGAGCGGCCGTAGACGGGCTCCCGGCGACGTAGGCAACGGCGTTGCAGGGTTCGGTCGTGTGGGAGCGCGTGGCCCGCGCTTCCCTACCACTCGCTGCGCCGTGCTCGCTCGAGCCACTCGCAGCTTGGAGGTGTAGGAGAGTATGGTTCGTGACTTCCTGCACTTTGGCTCCCAACACCATCGTGCATCAGCACCGCCCTTCGCCCGGCTCTGGCCCTCGGAGGAGCCGGTCCCCCGAGCGCCGAGGGCTTCTGCGAGGCTCGGGGCTCGAGGTCCGGGGCGCTCGGGCGCGCTCCTGCGGCCTCGGGGGGGCCTCCTCCTCCTCCACCTCCTCCTCCTCCTCCTCCTCCTCCTCCTCTTCCTCCTCCTCCTCCTCGTGGCCGCGGCCGGATCCGCCCGGAGGTCGTGGCCAGAGCGGGTCCAGCGGTCGCCTCTCGAGGAGGGGCCCGGACCTCCTGGCGCCGCGGAGCGATCCCGGCGGCAGGTCTTCGGCAACGCTCCGGGCCTCCCAGGGGCCCGATCTGCTTCACGCCGACGTCGCCGATGCCTCGCCGACGTCGCCGCGGCATCGGCGAGGCGGCGCGAGCCTCCGACCCCGTCTGCTCCGACCCCACCTGGGAGGCCTTTATGGTTAACTCGGGCCTGTCCCTCTACAGGGGGAATATTCCAAAATAGTCAAAAAAATAGTCTGGGGACTATTTTTGGAGCATTTTTGGACCATTGGGGGGCATTTATTTTTTTTTGTTGCATAGAGTCCCCCTGCGGGGGGACAAGCCCGACCTAACTTTCTGGGCGGGTCCAGCGGTCGCACCCCGAGGAGGGGACCCGGACCCCCCTGGCGCCGCGGAGCGAGCACGGCGGCAGGTCTCCGGCAGTGCCCCGCCTTTGGGGCGGGGGGGCCGCTGCTGGGCACCCTGGGCGGGCAGGCAGCGGCGCCAGGTGCAGAGCCGGTGCTGGGGCAGGGGCCCAGGGCTCCAGGAGCCCCCAATTTTAAGTCGGGCCTGTCCCCCTACAGGAGGAATATTCAAACATGAAAGAAATCGTAGGGGGACGTTTTCTGCACCATTTTTTGTGTATAAAGTTCTTAGCCGTGTAGCGCACGGCGGGACGCCAAGCTTCCAAAGAACGAGTTGGTCGGAGTTGCATCTGGTCTGAGTGCTCTGGTTGGTCTGGCTGGTCTGGCTGGTCTGGTTGGTCTGGTTTGAGCCTGGTGCTGAGGCTTTAGCTTAGGATTCAGGTGAGAGTGGTTTCGGGAAGGTCCGGGGAGGCAGCAGCAACCACTACCCCTTCCGAAAAGCAGATTTTGTTGCATTGCAGTTTTTTTGCATTGCAGTTTTTTTTTGCATTGCAGTTTTTGTTTGCATTGTATTTTTTGTTGCATCTGGTCTGGCTGGTCTGGGTGGTCTGGTTTGAGCTCGGTGCTAAGGCTTTAGCTTAGGATTCAGGCGAGTGGTTTAGGGGAGGTCCGGGAAGCAGCGACAACCACTACCACCGAGAAGCATTTTTTTTTGCATTGCAGTTTTTTTTGCATTGCAGTTATTTTTGCATTGCATTTTTTTTTTGCATCTGGTCTGGCTGGTCTGGGTGGTCTGGTTTGAGCTCGGTGCTCAGGCTTTAGCTTAGGATTCAGGCGAGTGGTTTAGGGGAGGTCCGGGAAGCAGCGACAACCACTACCACCGAAAAGCAGTTTTCTTGCATTGCAGTTTTTTTGCATTGCAGCTTTTTTGCATTGCATTTTTTTTTGCATCTGGTCGGCTGGTCTGGGTGGTCTGGTTTGAGCTCGGTGCTAAGGCTTTAGCTTAGGATTCAGGCGAGAGTGGTTTAGGGGAGGTCCGGGGAGGCAGCGACAACCACTACCACCGAAAAGCATTTCTTGTTGCATTGCAGTTTTTGTTGCACTGCAGTTTTTTTTTGCATTGCATTTTTTTTGCATCTGGTCTGGGTCGTCTGGGTGATCTGGTTTGAGCTTGGTGCTGAGGCTTTGGCTTAGGATTCAGGCGAGAGTGGTTTGGAGGAGGTCCGGGGAGGCAGCGACAACCACTACCACCACCGAAAAACAGTTTTTCTACATTGCAGTTTTTTTTGCATTGCAGTTTTTTTACATTGCAGTTTTTTTTGCATCTGGTCTGGCTGGTCTGGGTGGTCTGGTTTGAGCTTGGTGCTGAGGCTTTAGCTTAGGATTCAGGCGAGAGTGGTTTGGAGGAGGTCCGGGGAGGCAGCTACAACCACTACCACCGAAAAACATTTTTTGTTGCATTGCAGTTTTTGTTTGCACTGCAGTTTTTTTTGCATAGCATTTTTTTTTGCATCTGGTCTGGCTGGTCTGGGTGGTCTGGTTGAGCCTGGTGCTGAGGCTTTAGCTTAGGATTCCGGCGAGAGTGCTTTAGGGGGATCCGGGGAGGCAGCGACAACCACTACCACCACCGAAAAGCAGTTTTTGTTTGCATTGCAGTTTTTGTTTGCACTGCAGTTTTTTTGCATTGCAGTTTTTTTTGCATTTGGTCAGCTGGTCAGGCTGGTCTGATCTGGTTGGTTGGTCTGGCTGGTCTGGCTGGTCTGGTTGGTCTGGCTGGTCTGGTTGGTTTCGCTGGTCTTGCGCCCCTCTTGGTGCCGTCTTGGAGCCCTCTTGGGCCGTCTTGGGGGCCTCTTGGGCCGTCTTGGGGCCGTCTGAGCCAGTCTCCATAAAAGTTATACTCCGACAGGTCTGCGACCGCGACCAGGACCGGCCGCGACGACGACGACGACCGGGAAGACGACGGCCACGACGACTTCAGCTGAATCTTGCTTCCCAAAGAAATGAACCTGTCGTCATAAAAATGGATACGCCGACAGGGCTGCGACCACGACCACGACGACCACGACGAGGACGATGGTGGTTGGTCTGCCTTGTCTGGTTGGTCTGGCTGGTCGATCTGGTTGGTCTGATTGGTTGGTCTGGCTTGTCCGATTCGTCTGGCTGGTCCGATCTGGTTGATTGGTCTGGCTGGTCAGGTTGGTCTGGCTGGCCTGGTCTGGTCTGGCTGGACTGGTTCGTCTGGCTGGTCTGGTCTGTTCTGTCGGGCCTGGTCAGCTGGTCAGGCTGGTCTGGTCTGGTTGGTTGGTCTGGCTGGTCAGCTTGGTCGGGCTGGTCTGGTTGGTCTGGTTGGTCTGTCTGGTCTGGTTCGTCTGGTTCGTCTGGTTGGTCTGGTTTGTTCGCCGGGTTGGTCTGCCGCGCTTGCTCTACTGGCTGTGGTTGGTTTGGTTCGTCTTATTGATCTGGCTCGTCCGGCCCAGAGATTGCATTTGGATCCGGTCTCGGCTTGCAAGTCGCATTGTCGCTGGCGCGATGAGTCGCACTTGCCGGCTGACTTTGCGTAGAAGGGGAGGGAGGGGGAAGAGGAGGAAGAGAAGGACCGTCTCTGACGATGCCAAAGCCTGGCGACCCTTCCGGAAGGGCTGAATCGTTGACAACAGAACGACGTTGTCGCCGTCGTCTTCGTCCTCGCCCTCGACTTCCTCGTCGTCGTCGTCGTCGTCGTCGTCGTCGAACTCGTCGTCGTCGTCGTCGTCGTCGTCGTCGTCGTCGTCCTGCCCTTGGCGTCGCCACAGCCGGGGCTGAACCGAAAGCGCTGCTGCGTCAAGTTCCGCTGTGGCGGCACGGGGATGGGGGAGATGGACCATCAGCAGCCATATCAGTTTTTATGCCCCAAAGCAAAGAAAGGCGCTGGGGCATAAGAACTTTGCGCCTTGAGCGGCTTAGAATGTGATGATCTTTCTTAGCTATTTTTTATTTTTCGTCCAAAAGCCCCCTGTAGGGGGACAGGCCCGACTTAACCCTAATTGTGGCAGCATGACGACGTTGGGGGTGTGGGGGGGGTCTTCGGAGGTAGTGCGAAGGCCTCACGGCCGGCGCCGCCGACCCTGAAGGGGGACGACGGCGACGGCGGCGGCGTCGGCGACGACGGCGGCGGTGATGTGGGCCAGAGTCCTCAGGGATGCTTCGTGGGGTCTCGTCGGAAGGCTCTCAGGGGCCTCTGGAGAGGAAATGTGCCTCTTGGGGGCCAGAGTCCTCAGGGATGCTTCGTGGGATCTCTTCGGAAGGCTCTCGGGGGCCTCTGGGGAGGAGTTTTGCCTTAGGGGCCTCTTGGGGGCCTCTTTGGGCTTCCTGGGGGCTTCTTGTGGGCCTCTTGGGTCCTCTTTGGGGCCTCGTGGGGCCTCCTGGGAGCATCTCGGGGCCGAGGGCTCGAAATATCTTTTCGGGTCCCCCGTCTGGGCACGCTCTTGGAGACGTCTAGGGGGGGTCTTGGGCAGTCTTGGAGGCGTTTTGGGGTGTCTTGGAGTCCTCTTGGGCTGTTTTGGAGCCCTCTTGGAGGCCCCTTGGGCCGTCGTTGGGCTACCTTTGGGCCCTCTGGGGTCATCTTGGAGCGGCGGGAAGTGGAGAAGGCGAGAACGCGCACATTGGGGGTGTTGGGTTCTTCGGAGGTGTTCGGTGGCCTCCGGAGGTCTTCGAAGGCTCAGGGGAGGTGTGTGGATACTCACAGGAGGTCTTCGGATGCTCTTGGGGTCTCCGAGGTTTCTGTGCGTCTCTGGATGTTCCCGAAAGGTTTGGTGAGATGTTTGGATGTTCTCGAATATGATGGGTTCGCAGTGGTTTCGTTGGGCTTTCTTTTTTTTGGGGGGGGGCGGCAGGAGCAGCCTTTCGGAGATTTTCGGATGTCCAGCTCCCCACGGCAAGCCCCGCCACCGTGCCAGCGCAGCATCGGAGTGTGTGCAGGATGCCTCTGCTGAGCTCTGCAGACGAGGCCTGGTGTACGGTGTGGAACTTGCTGTCCATCGAAGAAGAAAAACTTTTGGTCTGCGGGTCGAGAGCGAGCCTCTTCCGCTTAAGAGCTAGACAGGCCGCGCAAAGCATTAATTGGGGAGACAGGGCGCGGGCGGGCGGGGCCTCAGGCGGCCGGAGGGCGCGGGGTGCACCGAAGAAGAAACACACGCCGTAAACATAAATTTTTGGGCGCTTCGCGCGGAGTTCTTGGATCGGCGTCTGGGCTCTCCTGGCGGCGCCTCCGGCGCCGCCCCCTGGCGCGCCCCGCGCGCCAGGGAGGGGGGCCCAGCGCGGATCCAAGAAATCCGCGCGGGGTGCCAACAGTTTATATGCTTATGGCGTTTCTCTTCCTCAAGTCCACGTCCAAGTCCCCAGGCGTCAACGTCTCGAGCCTTTCCGATCCTCCCGCCCCGTGGAGCGGAGCGACACGCTGTCCGCTTGCAAGGCACAGCGTGTCGCCGGGCCGCCGCACGCACGCCATGCAAAACTCCCAGACCGCAGCCTCGCGTGGGGCTTCCTGGGGTTTCCTCGGGCTCTCTTGGGCTCCTCTAGCGGCGCGCAGAGGGGGGTAATTAGGGGGAGGGCGGCAGGCTTCTTAGAAGGAAGCTGCTTCTCAGAAGGCGCCGGTCTTGCATCTACAGATAAGGCCCACGCTTTTAGGAAGCAAGGGTGCTTCCCTCTGCAAGGGGCCGGCCCCTTCCGGGGAGGCCTCTTTCGGCCCGCGGCGGTCTTGGGGCAGCCCGCACAGATCTACGACGGCATGTTGTTTCGATTCCTGCCGCTTTTCCTCGATTTCGGCCCCCTGGACTGTAACACATCAAGTTTCGATCTGGCGTGAACGGCTGCCCCTCAGTCGGGCATGTCCCTCTACAGGAGGAAGATTCAAGAGCAGTAGGAACAGAGTTTGTTGACGATCTTTCGTCGTGCTCTTCTGACAAGTTTTGGATATTTCTTTGGCTATTTTTTATCTTTCCAAAATCCGCCTGCAGGAGAACATGCCCGACCTAACATCAACTCTCGGAGCTCCGCGCGGATCTCTTGGATCCGCGCTGGGCCTCCCCCCGGGCGGCGCCCTGCGCTCCGCAGGCCAGGGAGGGGGGGTCCGGCGTGGATCCCAAGAAGCCGAGCGGAGCGCCAAAAGTCTGTGTGTTTGCACCGTGCTCTTCTCTTCCTCGGAGCACGGCCCGCAGAGCCCCCCCCCGAGGACGGCCCAAGGCCGCCCACGGGAGGCATCCGAGGGCCCCCCCCCCCCGCGGCCCGCACGGGCGGCCCCCGGAGACACGTCGACCGCGCGCCTCCTCGGAAGGGCTCGGTATGTGACCGTCGCGCCGAGGCGGGGCATCCTCCGAGATATTGTTTTTATTTCTTCCAGTGTTAAATTGGGCATGTCCCTCTACAGGAGGAGGGTCTACAGGAGGAGGGTTTTCAAGTAGTTGAGAAATAGTCGGGGGACGACTGTTCTATTCCTGGCATATTTTTAGATTTTGTTTGATGACTTTGGAAGAAGTTGTCCTTCAAAATCCGCCTGCAGGAGGACATGCCCGACCTAAATCCGGTGCTGGGGCTCTCTTGGGGTCGGCTTGGTGCTGCGCGCTTCTGGGGGCCCTCTGAGGCCGTCCTGGCGTCCTGGTGAAGGGCGCGCACCACGGAGGGGAACGAGGGGAGGCGCCACCTGGGGGCCGCGCTGGCTGACTGCTGGACGCTTGTGAGAGAGACCTTGTGGGTAGGTTCAAGTCGGGCATGTCCCTTTACATGAGGACCTCTTCTAGAATGATAACACCACAGTAGTGCGTTGACGATTTGTTTGTCTTTTTTGCTTCGGCTGCTTGTGATTCGTTTTGTTCAAAACATCCGCCTGTAGGAGGACATGCCCGGCCTAGGGTCGGTGTGGAGTGTAATATAGTGGAAGTTGCCGGCTAGTCCGGATAGACTTCGTCCCGTAGTCCAAGTCCACGTCCAAGGGGGGCGCCTTTCAAGAAGGTGGGGGGCTTCTCGGAGGAGGCAGGAGCCTTTTTCAGAAGGTCTCCTCCCTCGCGGCCTTCGAGTATGCACGCCGCCAATTCGGGGCCTGTTGGAATCTTGCCGAATCCATCGCGTGCCGAAGCGTTGGGAGGCCTATGCCTCTTCAGCCCCTCCCAGATGCCAGCTGGGCGCCCCTCGGCGACACTTTGGGGCCTTTGCTGGGTCTGTCCTGGGCTCCCATGGGGCGTCCGGAGGGTGCTGGGGCCGCTTGGAAGTGTCGAGGCTGCCGCTAGCACTACCCCTACAACCGCTATTGACTCCACCAGTACGTAGCATTCACGCGATCACTGCGCAACCATTCACCACCCTCGCTACAGCATGCCATCGGCCACTTCACCGCTAAACTGCGCTTGTCTTTCCAAAGCTTGAGGGGCCAAGAAACGTCTAGGATGGCGTTTTTTTGGGGGGGGGGCGATAACGGGCGTTATCCGGGGGCAGGAATCGAGGGCGGGACGTTTCGCGCCGGCGCCGTCTGGGAGTGTGTAGTAACAATCAAAGACAACTCGGAGGTCAGCACGAATCGTGACGTTACCTAGCTGGGGGGAGGGGTTGCCGGGGCCGGGGACGGCCGCTGGTGCGAAAGATGAATGGAACACGCTCTCTCGAAGCGATCCTCGAGGGTCGTGGGCAAGACGTCGCACTCATCCTCAACCGAGGCCGAGAGCCTGAAGCACTGCGCTGATAGGTGGAAGACCGCCTTCGCGAGTGAGCTGCACAAGCTGGCCTTCGAGAAGCTGGAGACCGTCAGCGAGACGATCAAGATGACCCGCAAGAAGCTCATGCGTGAGGCTGGCGGGTGCTGGTCCAGCGTGTCGTTTGGAGAGTGGGGAGCAGGTCATGGATATCGGCTGGAGGAGAGCGAGGACGGCGAGCTGGGATGTTGAGCGCTGACAAAAGGGATGACTATGATGAGGAGCAGGATGGCGATGCTGATGATGCTGCTGATGATGATGGTGATGACGATTATGATGATGCTGATGATGAAGGCGATGATGATTAGGCTGATGCTCCTGCTGCTGATGATGCTGCTGCTGATGATGAGGATGATGATAGTGATGCTGATGCTGATGCTGCTGCTGATGATGATGTTTAGTTTCATGATGATGATGACGGCTGTGGTGGTGATGATGATGCCATGGTGGTGATGCTGCTGAGCATGATGAGCTTGATGCTGATTTTAATGATGTTGGCGTTGATTGAGATCGACACGCATATGATGATGCTGATGATGACATTGATGACGATGCTGATGATGATTGTGGTAAGTATGCTGCTGATGATGATGATGCTGATGATGATGACGATGACGAAGATGACGAGGAGGAGGAGGATGAGGATGAGGATGCTGATGATGCTGATGATGATGCTGATGATGATGGTGATGATGCTGCTGATGACGATGCTTAGGTTGCTGTTGGTTATGCTGCCCTTGATGATGATGACGATGGCCATGCTGCTGATGATGATGCTGGTGATGACGGTAATGCTGATGATGATGCTGATGATGCTGATGATGACCGTTGTGACGATGGTTGTGACGCTGATGATGATCCTAATAATCTTGATGATGCTCATGATCATGATGGTGGCGGTGACGACGACGACGACTATGCTGATGAGGGTGATGCTGGTGTTGCTGCTGCTGCTGATAATGATGATGATGGTGATGAGGATGATGATGATGATGATGATGATCATGATGATGAAGGTAATGATGATGGTGATGACGATGCTGATGATGGTGGTGGTGATGGTGACGGTGGTGGTGGTGGTGATGATGTTGTTGGCCATGATTTTGATGATGATGCTGATGATGATGATGCTGATGATGATGAGGATGATGATGATGGTTATGCTGGTGGTGGTGGTGGTGATGGGGATGGTGATGGTGATGCTTGTGATGATGATGATGACGATGCTGCTGATGCTGATGCTGATGCTGATGATGTGGATGATTATGATGATTATTCTGCTGATGATGCTGACGATGATGCTGATGATGATGACGATGATGATGATGATGATGATGATGATGATGATGAGGATGATGAGGAGGAGGAGACGGAGGTTGAGGAAGAGGAGGAGGAGGAGGAGGAGGAGGACTGGGTGGAGGAGGAGGAGGGAGGGAGACGAGTAGGGAGCACGAGGGAGACACGAGGAGTGTGATGATAATGATGATGATGGTGATGAGGATGATGAGGATGATGGTGATGGTGATGGTGATGAGGATGACGATGCCGATGATGCTGATAATGGCAATGATGAGAATGCTGCTGATGATTACGAAGCTGATGATGACGAAGATGCTGATGATGCTGATGATGCTGATGCTGATGATGACGATAACGATGATGATGACGATGCTGACGATGGTGATGGTGATGGTGACGGTGGTGCTGGTCGTGGTGATGCTGATGCTGCTGATGATGATGTTGACCATGCTGATGATCATGATGATGACGATGATGATGCTGATGATGATGATAATGATGATGATGATGCTGATGATGATGATGTTGATGAGAGTGGTGGTGGTTATGATGGTGGTGGTGATGGTGATGGTCATTGTGATGATGCTGACGATGATGATGCTGCTGCTGATGAGGAGGACTATGCTGATGTGATGATGATGATGATGATGATGATGATGATGATGATGATGATGATGATGATGATCATCATGATCATGATCATGATCATGATTATGATGATGCTGATGATGCTGCTGATGGTGATGATGATGCTGATGATGACGATGATGATGAGGAGGAAGGGAGGAGAATGACTAGGGAGGGGGGGAGGGAGGAGAAGGAAAAGAGGACAGGAGGATGAAGATGAGAAGGGGAGGACGAGGAGGAAAGGGGCAGCGACGATGACCACGACGATCAACAGCAGGTTGGCAGTGGGGACATCGATGCCCTCGCGTACGTGATGCAGACCCTCCAGGAAGTGCGGGCGAAGCAGAGTGAGATCGAGCTAGAGTTCGGCCCGATCGAGCAAATGTACAGGACTGGGGGGAGGAGCAGGAAGAGGGAGAGACGGAAGATGAGGAGCAGGGGGGTTCATGGAGTCTGGCCTTGCTGTCTGCCGAGGTCTCCAGAGTGTGGTTTGCCCGCTTTTCCTCTGTATCCGCTGCTGTTTCTCCTGCGGCTGCTCCTCCTCTTCCTGCTGCTGCCTCCTCGTCGTCCTCGCCCCGCTCCTCGTCCTACACCCTAGGCGATGCTTAAGAAAGCCTAAGTTTTCGTCCAGAGTCTCGATTCTTCTTAACGTTTCAATGTAAATCTTAAGATTTTAATCGAAACGTTGGTTTTTTATCCAAGTTCTGAGACTATGAATTTCTGAACCCATGATTTCTTAAGCATCTCGCAGGGTGTACTGGCCCCCCGACGGCCGGGCGATGCAAAAAAGAGGATCCTGGACACGCACCTGCCGACGATCATGGACAAGGAGGAGCAGGACGCCCTGGCCATGCTCACGAAGAACTGGGCGAGCCTCCTGGAGGACCTCTTGAGACTTGCTTCTCCCCTCTCCTCCTCCTCCTCCTCTTCCTCCTCATCCTGTCCTCCTCCTCTTCCTCCTCCTCCTGCTCCTCCTGCTCCTCCTCCTCCTCCACCTCCTCCTCCTCCTCCTCCTCCTCCGGCCCTCCTCCTCCTCCTCCTCCGCCTCCTCCTCCGCTCTGGCCTCTCGGGGCCGCCTTGCCGTGCCCTGCATACCCTCGCCTCGTGCCGGGCCGTGCCTCGCACCTTGGCCAGGGCTGTCCGGGCACCTGTGTTTGATTACGCCTTGGGCCTGTCGGCTGCGAGCATGGTGACCACGGCTTGGGCCTGTCGGTTGCGCAAAAAAAGGAACGGCGACAGCATCACATTTTTTCTGTTGACGCCGCTGCGGAGCGGAGTCGGGCAAAAGCCGAAGAGCGAGCGCGGGCGATACTAACACACACACACACACGCAAGTCTCACACACACACACACGCACACGCACACTCACACGCACACACATAAGACACACACACGCACACACACACACACACGCATACACACGCGCACACACGCACACAAGCACACGCACAAACACACAAACACAAACACACGCACACATACGCACGCATACACGCACACACACACAGACACACAGGCACACAGACACAGACAAACAGGCACACATACACACAGACACAGACACACAGACACACAGACACACAGACACACAGAAACACAGACACACAGACAGACAGACACACAGACACACAGACACACAGACACAAAGACACACACACAGACACACACAGACACACACACAGACTCAGAAACAGACTCAGACACAGGCACAGGCACACACAGTCACAAACATAAGCACAAGCACACACACAACCACAAACACAAACACAACCACACACACACACACACGCACGCACGCACACACGCACATACGCACACACGCACACACCCACACGCACACGCACACACACGCATACGCACACATACACGCACACACACATGCACACACACACACACGCACACACACCCACACGCACACGCACACGCACGCACACCCGCACACACACAGACGCACACACACACACACACGCGCACACGCACACCCACACGCACACGGCACCCGCACACGCACACACGCACCACACGCACGCACACACACACACACCCACACATATGAACACACACAAACACAAACACACACACACACACCACACACACCACACAACACGACACACACACAACACACAGACGCACACACACACACACACGCACACACACGCACACACACGCGCATGCATGCCCCACACACACACACACACACACACGCACACCCACACACACACACACACGCACACGCACACGCACGCACTCGCACACGCACGCGCACACGCACACGCACACGCACACGCACACCCACACGCACACGCACACCCACACCCACACGCACACGCACGCACACGCACGCGCACACGCACTCGCACACGCACACGCGCACGCGCACGCGCACGCGCACGCACGCGCACGCGCACGCGCACACGCGCGCGCACACGCACACGCACGCGCACGCGCACACGCACGCGCACGCGCAGACGCACACGCACACACACGCACATAAAGAGAGCCCCATAATCATTGCGACATAGCAGGCGTGGCACTTGGGCACCCCAAGGGGGAGCCGCCAGGAGGTATCTCAGTCGCCCGTTCGCGGCAAGTTTGCGTGGATGTCTCAGGCGGTTTGCTCGTCTCGTGGCTGGGACCCATTGGCTTTCATGAGCCGACCGTGAGGGTGTCCCGAGCGAAGCGTACGAAGCGCTGGTTTAGGCATCCCCGACCCCTCTCTTTTTTCTACAGCCCCAAAAGCACCTCGTTGCAGCAGGCATAGCCTTTGGGCGCTCTAAGTGGGAGTCGCCAGGGATCGCTCAGTCGCCAGAGGCTACGCTTCCCTCGTTCAGACACTTACAGACGGAAGCTCCAGGAACTGAGATGCACATCTGGGGCTTTCCGCGTCGCATACTTTCAGTCCCCGAGTTTTTCGCTGACTTCGGCGTCCGGGGCCCGTTACCGCGACCAGTGACCATCAGAAAGGGATCCAGGGCGCAAAGCTATTCCCACCCCGGGGAGCGGGCCAGGACCCCGCGGAGGATACATTTTTTTTGTTTTTTCAATCCCGGCGCTTTGTCTCGATGTCGGCGTTTTGGGGGTCCGCTATCGCGTCCCAGGGCCATCATTGGAGGCCTGGAAATGGGCACCAACACCAACACAGGGGGTTGCCTTCACAGGGGGAAAATGATCCTCGATTTCGGTGTTGGTGGTAATATTTCGGCCACCTTGGACGCCAAAATATTACCACCATCGCCGAGATCGGGATCTTCTTCTCTCGGTGGAGGCACACCGCCGATCTTGGTGTTGGTGTCAACCTGTAGGCCTGGGCCATGAGACGTGGACCCGGGGCGCAAAGAGGACCCTCCGAGGAGCGGGTCGGGACCCCTGTGGCCGCGGACGGAGACATCACATCGGGGGACGTGTGAGGCTGTCGTCGCTTCGCGCTCGCCTCGGCCCGCGTCTGCTGTGCCGTCGGCTCCACCCTGCTCTCGCCGCTGCCTGCGCCCACTCCTCTGTGTGCTTGTCTCGCAGCGCCCGCGCGAGCGGGCTCCCGACCTGCTGGCGGCCGCCCTCGGCAAGACGCGGGCAGTCAGATCGGCGAGTGCGGGGCCAGCGATCTTCGCTGCCGATGCCTGTGGGAGGTCCGCGCTGCCGGCGCCAGCGACTCATGTTGGACGCGCCATCGACGTTCTCGCCCCGCGGAAGGAAACTAACAAAAAATCTGCTCTCGCCGCTGCCTGCTCCCACTCCTCTGTGAGCGTGGCGACTTTCGTTGGCCGCGCCCCGCTCGAGAAGCTTCGAAATGGCCTTCCAAGGCCCTTGCATCCTCATCGTGCATCCTTTTATTATACGGGTCGACTGTACATCGCCCTGTCAGTGGTGCTGCTCTTGCGTTGTGCCCTTGCTGTTCCTGCCCCTGATGATGGCGCTGCTGCCAGCGCGCCCGCTGCAGCCCCCCTCGCTCCCTGCGTTGGTCTCGGGTCGCGCTGCTGCTCCTCATGCCGCCGATGCCCACTGCTCCCCCTCCGCCTCGTCCCACTTCCTCTCCCTCTCCTTTTCCCGCTTCTCCCCTCCCCCCCTCCCTGTGCTCTTTCTACTCCTCGTCCTCGTCCTCCCTCTCCCTCATCGTGCTCCCATCTCCGCATCTCCCTTCTGTCTTACCCCTCGGGCTTCTCTGCCTCCCCTCCCCTCCCCCCGTTCCTCTCCCCATCCACCCCTACCTCCCCTTCTCTTGAACCCTGCTCCTGCTCCTGCTTCTCAGCCTTTCCATCCCCCACGAAGCAACATCTCCATAAGTATGCACGCTCGGAAAGCCTGCGCGGATCTCTCGGCTCGGCTCCGGTCCCAGCTTAGCCCGGCGCGCGCAGGGCGCCAGGGGCGTCTCGCTGGAGGCGCCACCTGGGGGTGGGCGGGTCCGGGTTCGATCCGATTGATCCGAGCGGGCCTCCGAAGTTGATGTCTGCGGCGTTTTCTCTTCCTCCGCTTCCTTCCCCTGCTCCTGCTCCTCCCTGCCCTGCCCTCCCTCCTCCCTCCTCCTCCCTCCTCCTCCTCCTCCTCCTCCTCCTCCTCCTCCTCCTCCTCCTCCTCCTCCTCCCTCCTCCTCCTCCTCCTCTCCTCCTCCTCACCTCCTCCTCCTCCTCCTCCCCTCCTCCTCCTCCTCCTCCTCCTCCTCCTCCTCCTCCTCCTCCTCCTCCTCCTCCTCCTCCCTCCCTCCTCCTCCTCCTCCCTCCTCCTCCTCCTCCTCCTCCTCCTCCTCCTCCTCCTCCTCCTCCTCCTCCTCCTCCTCCTCCTCCTCCTCCTCCTCCTCAGCTCCTGCTCCCTATGGCCCACCAGCTCCGGACCGCCTGTCGCCTGCCGCTCCACGTCCAGCTGCTCCTTCCGCTCTTCTGGCCACCTTCCCTCGGGGGGGCAACGCTAAGAGGGCACAGGCTCAGGGGGGGATGCATCGACCCTCGCCCATTGATGGCCGATGAGGGCCCGATAGCCCACCCCGCCCAGGAGCGTGCGGATCCGCTATCCTGGGCACAGCGCCGATCTATCGGCTACGTACCGCCGACTCCAGAGAGATGTTTTCCCCCTTTGAGCCTGTCCCTCCTACATGCATCTTCTCACACGAAGGGCGTTCCCTCATGCGTTCTGAACTTGCTTCTCACGTAGATCGCGCGAAGCATCACGGAGCTGAAGCGGGTTGCATTGATACCAGGACACTTGGCATCGCGACACACGTTAATTATGTGCTGCGGCGTTTTGCCAGGCACGACCCCCTAGACGGCCGCCTGCTGTGACCAGCGCGAGAGGAGAGCGGCCATCCTCAGAGGGTCGCTTCTCAAACGTGGCTCTTGATTCGCAGGCCTAGAGGTTGACACCAACACCAAGATCGGCGGCGTGCCTCCACCGAGGGAAGACGATCCCGATCTCGGTGATGGTTGTAATATTCGGGCTTCTGAGGTGACCGAAATATTACCACCAACACTGAAATCTAGGATCATCTTCTCCATGTGGAGGCCACTCCTTGTATTGGTGTTGGTGCCCATTTCCAGGCCTCCAAGAGCGGCCATCCTCAGAGGGTCGCTTCTCCAAAGTGGCTCTGGATGTTGCCCCTTGTTCCCCCCGGGCGCCAGGAGAGCCAGCTGCGTCAGGAGGAGTTCTCCAAAAAGCAGGTGCAGTACAAGAAGGACGGCTTCCGCCCTACCCTCTCGGGCGCCTCTTGCGGCAGCGCGGAACACACGTCTATACATATAGAGAGAGAGAGAGAGAGCAACACCAACAATAGCGATAGAGATAGAGAGAGAGAGAGGGAGAGATAAAGACAAACATATATTTATATATATACATACACATATAGACAGATATAAGGATACATATATATACGTATATATATAGAGCGAGAGAGAGAGAGGTGGAGCAGACCTGTTGGACTTGTGTCTGCTTGCTTCTTCCTCCTCCTCGTCCTCCTCGTCCTCCTCCTCCTCCTCTCTTCTGAGGCTTCGTGCTTAGAGCCCGAATGGGATGACTCAGGGCTGCAGCCCGACGCACCTGCCATTCCGTCTTGCTGAGGGCACTCGTGCACGTACTGGCCCTGCGCGACCGCCCCCTCGCTCATGCCCCCTCCCTCTCTCACGAGGCGTGCGCCGAAGGCAGCAGTACATGGGACCCGTGACTGCTCGCAGACATCTTCGCGTCGTGCACAGGAGTCGCGATGGCGCTGCGCTCGCCGGTCCGAGAGAGGGCCCTCTCCCGATCCTCGGTGGCCCAAAGATGGGGTCCTCAGGGATGGGGTCCCGAGGACGAGGTGCCCCCAACAACGTAACTCCACGCTTGGATCCCTTCCTCTCCTCAGGCCTCCATCCCTCAGGACCCCAGCTTTGAACCGCCCAGGGTCCTGCCGCGCCGACGCGCGAGTCCGCCACCGCGCTCTGGCGGGGGCCTCCCAGCGATCCGGGCGCTGCAGGTTTTTCACGCCGGGCCTTCTCACCTCGTTGCAGGCCCGGGGGCCCTCACAGATCGGCAGGAAGGTGGGGCCTCTAGGGCTCTGGTCGTGACTCTGCGCGACGCTGCCCTTTTCCCGCAGCACTCGATCTGAGGGCTGGTGGAGGGAGGGCTCGGACGGGGCTAGGACGAGGATAACTCCGTTCCGGAGCGTTCCGGAACGCTCTCAGAGCGTTTCGGAGCGCTCTGCGAAGGCCGCGGCGCCGGAGACATCCTCCAGAGCCTCGGGATCTCAGAGATTCTCGATTGGTCATCGTCCAATTCTGTGCTCGTCCTGGCTTCGCCTTCGGGGAGGGGGAGCGGCCCGCAGGCGCGACTGGCGGGGGGGCCGCGCAGGGCTCGGGGCTGCGAGTCCGGCTCCGGCCGCGCGCTCCCGGGGCCAGGTCGCGGCGCTGCTGCTCGTGTGAGGCTGCAAGGGCCCATTTTGTCTTACTTGTGTCGTCGCCTATCTCTTCTTGATCTCCCTTCGCCTATCTCTTCTTGATTCCACGTGTCCCACGTGGCTCGCGTGCGTGAGGCCAGCCTTTCTCTCCTCGTTCCCTCCGTCGTCCCTGGCTGGTGCACCCCTGTGGAGGGAGGAGGGAAACAATGCACCCGGCGCGACCCCACTCAGGGGAAAGCCCCCTCTTGCATGGGCGCAGTGCTGCGCAGTGCTTGGCGCTGCTTGGCACTGCTTGGCGCTGCTTGGCGCTGCTTGGCACTGCTCGGCGCTGCCTGGCGCTGCTTTAAACTGCTTGGACGGCGCCCCCGCCCCCTGGCGTGCTTTTTTGCGTGTTCTGCAGTCTCCAGGAGGCCTCTCGCCGCCGTGGCCGGGCATGTCCGCGGCGTCGAAGAGGCGGGCAGGATGGACCCCCGAAGGGGTGCGGGTACCGATTTCTGTTCTGCAGCAAATCATGGGAGCCCTGTGTAATTACTCCCGTCCGCTGGGAAAACTTGCAGTCATCGTGCTACCATGAGGAACGCTGAATCATGTGGGCCCTGTGTACCATCGCAATGTTGTCTTTAGCGTAGATTAGCGTCGCGTCGATTAGCGTCTGGGAGTTGATGAGATAGCGCCGATTTAGCGTCGGTTAGCATCGACTAGCGTCGACCTAGCGTCGATTCGCGTAGATTAGCGCCGAGTCGCAAGAGCCGACAAGATGATGTCGGAGGCTCCCATGAGTTGTCACCGACATTTTGAGAGGTTTTGTGCCACGGAGCGTTTCGCCAGGACCTTGGTTTGTTGGGCCATTCGTTACAGTGGAGGCCCATGCCAAGCCATACCCTGCTTGCCTCCAGGGTGCCCTGGGCTTCTTGGGTTTCGATGGTTTTGCTGGACTTGGCCAGTCGAGTGAAGGACCCAGAAGAGTGAACGCATATTGGGCTCGACACGTCAGGGGCCCTGAGTACTGCGTCGCAGGGAGCAAAACAGATGAGAGAAGCAAGGGCTCGACGCACACCAACCGCTGCAAGCGCGGTGGTGGGCCGTGCTGAACCCCCTTCAGCTCTCAAACGCAGTAGCGGGCCGTCTTGATGGCGTGCGCAGGGCGCGCGGCAATCCTGCTGCTGGTCTCCTGGGCCCCTCGCCCTGGGGCCGAGCAGGACGGACCCGTGGCCGTGGACCCAGCGCTGCGCTGTGATGGCGTTGGGCGAGGTCTCTGTTCAGCGGCTGCTGCTGCTTCTCTCCCGCTCGGGCCCGAACTCGCCGCCAGCTCGGACTTCGTGCACCTCCGGGGGGCCCGCTTGCGGGAGACGTGCCGCGGGGCCCGGCGACGGCCCGGCGGCGGTTCTGGGCTGCTGCAGCAGGGCGCTCGGAGCGCCGCGGGCGTCCCCTCGGTCCGCCGCCGACGCACGCCGCGCTTCTCCGTGGGTGCCGTCCGGCTGGTAATTCGGTGATCCTTCTCTTCCTCACTGTTTCGCCGATCGGCGCGGGTCCTCGCACCCCCTCCTCATGGAGTGGATCTGGGCTGTCTTTGGCGCCCGCCTCGAGCAGGCGGAGAGGTCCCCCCAGGGGACGCACCGTTGCAAGCCGTCGCGTGAAGCAGAGGTCTGGAGCCAGACCCTGACCCCCTTTCCCCGCCCCTTCCGCCCAATGTCGAAACGCCGAATAAGATCGCAGGCCTAGAGGTTGACACCAGCACCAATATCGGCGGTGTTCCTCCACCGTGGGAAGAAGATCCCGATCTCGGTGATGGTGGTAGTATTCGGGCTTCTGAGGTGGCCGAACTATTACCACCAACACCGAAATCTAGGATCATCTCCCCCCTGTGGAGGCAGCCCCCTGTCTTGGTGTTGGTGCCCATTTCTAGGCCTCCAATAAGACACCGTTCAACACGGGGGGCGTTCGTCAAGGAACGTGCACAGGAGGTTTGAGGCCCTGGAGGGCTTCTTCTCTGATGCGGGCGGCGGTGGTGTCCATGGCCAAACCTCAGAGTTGGAGTTCCGCAGGCCTCCAGACCCTGGATTCCTCATATCTAAGAGTTTAGCTCCGCAGCTCGCCTACAGCTCGAGTTAAGTAGAGAAAACCAACAGCACCTGCCAGAGTAAGCCTCGAGACCTCCAACCGCCCGGGTGTTTTTTACAGTGATACCCACCCGATCGACCTGAGGTCAAGATGGCGGGCGGATGCCCATGGCCAAACATCAGTTGGAGTTCCACAGGCCTCCACCGTATCTGAGGCTTCCTCATCGGGGTTCCTCATATCCGAGGGCTCCTCACATATATATATATATATATATATATAGATATACATATATATATATGTATATAGGTATACATATATATATATATATATATATATATATATGTGGGGTCCTCCCCTGGACTCCTTCTATCTCAGGGTTCCTCGTAGGGCTCCTCCCCTGGACCCCTCACATCATCGAAGGCTTCCTCCTCCGGTGCCCCCCGCCGTGTGCAGAGTGCACGGGCCCCGGCGGCCGAGAGGCCGCCATACCCTGCCCACCGAGGGAGCGCAAGGCCCTGCCCGGCGAGGCGCCGGGCGCAGCGCCCTGCCCCTCGGCGCCGCCTCGGCGGCAGGCCCCGCGAGGGGGTCGCAGGCAGGGGGAGGTCGAGGAGGAGGAGGAGGAGGAGGAGGAGGAGGAGGAGGAGGAGGAGGGAGGGGGGGGGGGAGGAGGAGGAGGAGGAGGAGGAGGAGGAGGAGGAGGAGGAGGAGGAGGAGGGGAGGGAGGAGGATGAGGAGGAGGAATAGGAGGGGGGGTGGAGGAGGAGGAGGAGGAGGAGGAAGGAGGAGGAGGAGGAGGGAGGGAGGAGGAGGAGGAGGAGGAGGAGGAGGAGGAGGAGGAGGAGGAGGGTGGAGGAGGAGGAGGAGGAGGAGGAGGAGGAGGAGGCAGGTCAAGTCGGGCCCGTCCCTCTGCAGGGGGAAGATTCCAAAAATGGTCCAACAATAGTCAGGGGACCATTTTTGGAGCATATTCGTTGGCCATTTGGGAGTATATTTCGAGTATCTGTTGAATTTTTCGTCGAGAATCCCCCTGTGGGGGGACACGCCCGACTCAAGCAGAGGGGGCTGGGCGGCGGGCCCGCTCGGGGAGGGCTCGGGGGAAGGCCTCGGGCCGCCTGTGGGCGCGCTCCTGGGCCCCAGGCGCGTGGCCGCGGCTCGCGCAAGAGAGTCCGGGCGGGAGGTTTTTTTTGGCCAACCGCGGCCTCGGGGGGCCTGTCCCCCTACAGGGGGATTTTTGGGCGAAATAATATAAGATGATAGTTGCAACATGCACCAAAAAGGGCGGGAGGGGTTCTTTGGCCAACCGCGGCCTCGGGGGGCCCTCGCCGGGCCTCGGGAGCGTCAAGAGACGACTCGGGCCCAGACGCGTGGTCGCGTCTCGCGCAAGAGAGTCCGGGCGGGAGGGGTTCTTTGGCCAACCGCGGCCTCGGGGGGCCCTCGCCGGGCCTCGGGAGCGTCAAGAGACGACTCGGGTTAGGTCGGGCCTGTCCCCCATAAAGATAGTGAAAAACGAACCAAACATGTTCAAAAATGGTCAAAACATCGTCCCCATAGTACTTTTTGGCTATTTTTGAGTAGTCCTCCTGTAGAGGGACAAGCCGGACTTAAGGCCAACCTCGGCTTCGGGGGCCCTCGCCGGGCCTCGGGAGCGTCAAGAGACGAGACGGGATGGAAGGCCGGTCCTGGGAAAGGGGTCGGGACGTCCACGGGCCCCGTGTTGAAGAAGAATCCGGACGTCCCACGTTTTGGGGGCGTAGCTGCCCTGATGCGCCCGTTTTGAAGCGCAACGCGTGCTCTGTGCAAGACGTCCACATGAACACGCTGCGTGTTGGCTCAACGTGTTGGGCCACGTTTGGGCGAGCCTGACCTACGCTTCCAGCCTGCGTGTTGAGCTCTCCGCAGCAGTGCGCCACGTGTGGCGTGTGGCGTCTCGGGGCAGCTGAGCTTGGGAGCCTTCTCTCCGAAGACGCAGGAGGAGGAGGAGGAGGAGGAGGAGGAGAAGGAGGAGGAGGAGGAGGAGGAGGAAGGAGGAGAAGAGGAGGAGAGAGGAGGAGAGGAGGAGGAGGAGGAGGAGAGGAGGGAGGAGGAG